TGATTCAAGGGAGACTGGAGATATAAATGCTCCATTTGACTACAGAAAAATATTTAGTTGCATACTCCTTCCTGCCTTCCACTGTGAGAAAGATGGTTGATGGGACTCGCCATCTTTAAGGCCTTCCACAAATGGTACCTCCCCAGTAAATTGATCCTTGTCCCATACCTCTTCCTTCCATTTCAGACCCCTAATGTACTTTGGAAAATCGGTACCACCTTCTCAACTTCTTTGTGCTCATACCCATATGTCCACAAGATGACTGTTTGTTAGGCCTTTGTGAGTGAGAATCCCAGATTTCTTATTATCTCCCCTTGAAAAAACAAACACTTAATTAGGGCTTCACTAAATTAATCAACTAATTAATTCAGCTCACAGGACAATAAAAGACCAACTGATACTGTTATAAATATTACCTTCTACTCATTGAAGGAACTGCCTTTTAACCTATTCAGCCCTGGCCGGTTTGGCTCAGTGGTTAGAGCGTTGGCCTACAATCCGGAGAGACCCGGGTTCGGTTCCCGCTAAGGGCATGTACCTCGGTTGCAGTTTGTCTCCGGCCCTGGTTGGTGGTGCGGGTGGCAGCCACTCGATGTGTCCCTTTCACGTCGATGTTTCTCTCTCTCTCTCTCTCTCTCTCCCTCTCTCTCTCTCTCTCCCCCCCTCTCTCTTCCTCCCACTCTATCTGAACAAAAAATGGAAAAATGTCCTTGGGTGAGGATAAAAAGAAAAAAAAAAAAAAGGCAATCTAACCTATTCACACAAAAAAGAGCCCAGCTGGTGTGGCTCAGTGTTCAAGTGTCGACCCCGTGCACCAAGAGGTTGCCAGTTCGATTCCTGGTCAGAGCTGTGGGCCTGATCCCCAGCGGGGGGCATGCAGGAGGCGGTCAATCGATGTTCTCTCTTATAGATGTTTCTCTCTCTCTCCCCCTCTCCCTTCCTCTCTCTCTAAAATCAATAAAGAAAAAAAAATTTAAACAACAATAAGAACGATAAGCCACCCCTAGCCTGTCCAATGCCATGTATGCCAGCACTCTCGCTACCCTTCAGGAGTAGGTGACAGACCCATAGGTGGTACTTCCCTTTAAAAATCTTACCTCAACTGCAGCTCGCTCTTACTTCAGGTTCTAACCCTGCAGTTAACAGTATGGCTGCTTCACTATCACATCTAAGGTCAAAAGGAAAATATAATTTCTTCTTGTCAGGCATGTCTTGGTACATGCTAATTTCAAAGACATGAAAATGACTTTGACCATTGTATAAATCAATCAGACTGTAGCCTTTCTGATCCTGAACTCTAAGTTGCAAAATGTTCCTGCAACACCTTTCACCAAGATCCCACCCCACATTTTTGGGGTCAATTCAGAAACTTTAGCTCTATTCTATCTAGGGAGAGCAAAATCCTGTGCTGAGCACTCTTTCTTCCTCGTCCAAAAGAACTGTCTCTGGAGAGTCGCTGTGAGGACAATGTCAAAGCGAAACACCAGAACAGCTCATGGCATTTAGGATTTAGGGTTTCTTGGAAACATTGCAACAGTCAGAAGGAAAATGAGTCACTTAAAAGTGGATGGAGACCTCTGCTGGCTACAACTGGTCCTGCAGCTCCTTAAGCTAGTTCTGAGTTGCTCAGCAAGAAAATCACTGTTCCCGTCTCAGGTCACTCTGGCATGCCAACCAGAGCTCTATTGCATCAGCTGCTGAGGCAACAGGTTTTTCCCTAAAAGTTTATGCCTGTCTTACAAAAAGATCCAAATCTGTCCACCCCAAAGAGAATTCATTAAGATAAAAAACTTCCTAGACCCAGGTGTATGCTATTTTTTCAGTTACTCCTGCCAAGGTCAGGTTAAACTGATGGATAGTAAACAGAAGGCAAGTGTCAAGTAAAATCTGGAAAAGGGTCCTATGGAACAATAGAACTCTCTCTAATCTTAGAGATATGAAACCTTAACTATCAATGGAACAGTGATTCTCAATCAAAGCAATTTTGTCTCGCAGGGACCATCTGGCAATGTCTAGAGACATTTCTGATTGTCACAACTTAGGATGAGGGTGTGCTACTGGCATCTAGTAGCTGAACCTTTACCAGTGGTTCTCAACCTTCCTAATGCCGCAACCCTTTAATACAGTTCCTCGTGTTGTGGTGACCCTCAACCATAAAATTACTTTCATTGCTACTTCATAACTGTAATTTTGCTACTGTTATGTCTTAGGCGACCCCTGTGAAAGGGTCGTTGGACCCCTAAGGGTTCAAGGCCCACAGGTTGAGAACTGCTGCTTTATACCTACCTGGGAATTACTTCAACCAGATACCTCACCTCTAATTGAGATCAGTTCCCACCTCGAAGTCTGGGGTTGGGAGAAGAAAAGAGGTCATCTTTGGAACACAGATGACTTAGAAAAAGGGAAGCAGGACTAAATGGGGCGTTGAGTGGGGTGCTCTAGGTCTGCAAGCAGCACAGAGAACAGGGGCATCAGGAAGCAGAAGAGAGGCTAGAAAGGGAGGCAGGTGCGCACGAGTGCCCTTCTACAGCTGACACGATGCAGGGCACTCGCCACCAGCGGAGGTATGGCCCTCCTGGCTGGAGGTGTCCAGAAGAGATGACCCTAACTGCTAATGTTGTCAAGGACAGGAATATTCTTGCTAAAGACAAGGGTTCCATAGAGCTTTCACGCAGCTGAATGGAACATGAGAAGTGATCTGGCCATCCTTCATTTCATAAGTGAGAAAAGGAAAGCCCAAGCAGCTCTGGTGACTTGTCATGGTCACACAATTAACAGGGACAGAGCCAGGGCTCAAACCCAAGTCTCTTGACTCCAAGTGTGTCTCTCTGAACCCAAGTAACCTACAGGTACACTGTTTTAAATGCCATCTATTCATTCCTTCTCAGTGGCTCCATGACTCTGAGTCTGCTCCTGAAAATGACCAGCCAAGCTTGTTTCAGAACTGTGGTTCCCACGCCGTGCTCCTGAGGAACAACAGCCTCTGTAAGCCAGCCCAAACCAATTCTGCTCCAAAAACCAAATGACTCTCTCCCTACATGCAGTTGATGGGTTTCTCGCGGCCTTTTTTCAGACTACGGTCTATTAAAAGGTGTATCTGGTTTAGCAGACGATTCTATATTTAGTTATGTTCATAAATCAAGATGCCATAAAAAGAAACACAAAGAGCACAAACACCAGGACTCTCAAAGAGCATTTTCTTCTGTAGAAGTTTTAAGAACCACAGGTTTAGATCAAGGTTCTAGAGATCTCCAAACTGATTTTCTAACTCACTGAAATTCAGACAACGTCAGCAGTTGAGTAACAACTAGGAAGCCAGAAACTTAAAATGAACACAAGCATGCTATGAAAAACTACAGGGAGCCTGGCCGGTGTGGCTCAGTGGTTGAACGTCCACCCATGCATGCACCAAGAGGTCGCCTGTTCGATTCCCGGTCAGGACACATGCCCAGGTTGTGGGCCCAGTCTCCAGTGGGGTCATGCAGGAGGCGGCAAATCGATGTTCTCTCATCCATGTCTCTATCTCTCTCTCCCTCTCCCTTAAATCAATCAAGAAAAATTATTTTAAAAAAACTACAGGGAGGCTAAAATCAGCCTGTGATTTGTTTTCAAATCAGAATGCCAAAACGGTTTACAGATGAGGCTACTGAGGTCCAGAGAAGGCAAACCCTTGGCCTTCAGAGTGAGTCGCTGGCCAAGCTGGCACTTGACCCAGGCAGCCGGAGGTAAAACCTCCAGCCTTCATGACTGTGTGAGGCGAGCCTCTCTTTGGTGTAAGAAGCTCAGTACCATTATAAAGAGGGCAACCTGAACACACTCGCTAACTTCCACTTCCTTCTAAAATCCTAAAATTACAATTTAGGGGAATTGTTTAAATTGAGGCATAATCACTCTAACGTAAAGAGAACAGCAGATGAGGTAACAGTAACAAAATGTGGAAGCTGAAAAGCAGACAGAAAAGTGGGAGCTGACTGTACAGGCCATGAGCACTGCATCCCAGGTTGGCTGAGAAAAACCCAAGTTCCGCTGCAGAGCCGCCAAGTGGGAGAAAAGCGGGGCTAACGGCAGGCGGTGGACTGGATGCATTTAAGAAGCAGTTAGCAGCCCAGATCCCCTCCCAATTCCACACGGCCAGGTCGCTGGCCTGCCCTCACCCGCACAGAGGCCTGACAGCTGCTCTCTAGACAAGGCTAAATGCAGGCCCTCCGCCTATGGGTGGAGGTGCCAAAATTAAAACAGGATCCACGGGACAGTTACATACTTAATGCTGAGAACCCTCCAAACCTCTTCTCTTGCTCATCTCCTACACAGAACATTTTGATAAAAATAAAAAATTTTTAAATCCATTTAAAAAAAAAAAAACAAGCACAGTACCAATATCAGGAGAGTCTTTTTAATTTTTTAAAACTTACTTGATATTTAAGTCCAACTAAATTTTTTTGCAGGAGAAAGGGAAGCAGGCCTAAATGGGACACCCAGTGGAGTGCTTCTGACCGTAGAGAGCAGCCCCGGGAAGGGGTGTCAGAAGGTGGAAGAGACACTTGGAAAGGAGGCAGGAGCATGGAAGGGTTTGAGGGGAAAGGAACTGGGAACCTAGGCCAGCTTATACAACATTCTCAAGGTTAACAGCTACCCAGAAGCAGCGCCCTGAACTGTTCCAGCTTCCGTGGCTGTCTTAGTCACTACAACTGTCACCTGCTATGAAAACAACCTTCCAAAGAGGCTCAGCTTTGCATCCTGAACACACAGCTATGGTATGACCCTGAAATCACAGCAGGCTTACCTCAGAAGCCATTTTAAATCTGAAACTTATTATATCAAACCTTGTCTGACCAATTCACCTGACACTGTTGTCCTCTGTTCAGTTTGGTTGGTTGAGACCGTGGTGGAAATGAACACCCCTCACGCATTCAGCTGCTGTCACTCTGTATCCAAGCAGTGAAGATCACCCTTTCACATCGCCCAGGTCACCTCCCTTACAGGGCTGCTTGCCCCCTTACCTGTCTCTGCATTTCTTCAATCTGTCTTTGGGGGATGCTCTGCAAAATACTGAATACATCTGCCATCTTTTCTTCGGGCACAACCACAGATGCTCTAGAGACAATAGCAGAACAATTTATATATGTACAGTCCTTTTCACAGAGCACTTTCACATACATTGCCTTGTTTAATTCTCACAAGCAGAAACAACAAACCTCCTTCGGCTCTCCCTCCCTTCTGGTGAGTGGTCCCTGTTCCAACTCCCTTCCTCATGCCGACCTTCTCAAAGGAGCTCTCACCAGTCCCACTTTCTCACCTCCCACGCACCACTGTATCCATCCTCCCGCCACTCCACGCTGTGCTCCAGCCACCCTGGCACCTGTCAGCCACTCGAACACACAAGGCTCTGCCCACCACACCGGGCACGCTCTTCCTTACCCTCCACTGCCTACTCTGAATTCACAATGACTTTTCTCCTTTAGCTAGACCGTATGCTCAAATCCATTCATTTACTCAGCATGTGTTTATGGAGACCCTGTTAGGAACTAGGTCCTGGTAATACGACAGTGAACAAAACAGACAAGGAAGGCCTGGGAGTGAGAGAGCCATGAGGACACCTGAGGGAAGAGCATTCCAGGCAGAAGCACTAAAAGGTGAAAGGCTCTGAGAAAGCAGCATGTCAGGAATGTTCCAGCAACAACAAAGAGGCCAGTCTGAAGATGGAGAATATCAGCAGATGAAGACAAACAGGATGAGGGTCACAGCAAAGCACATAGGGCCTTGCAGGTCACGGCAAGGACATGAGCTTCTGAGATAGACAGCCACTGAGAGGCTTTAGGAAGGCATGGCTCAGTCTATGTTCCAACAGAATCACTCTGCCTAAAGTATTCGAACACACCACCAGCAAGACCAGAAGCAGGGAGAACAGCTAGAGACCAGCGCCAAACCTACGCAAGGAATGCTGAGAGGGAGCAACTGATGAAGTGATGAGAGAACCGTCAGGATCTGTTAACAGATTAGATATGGTGAGAAAGGGGAAGGGAGGACTCAACAATGACTTACCCATCATGGCATTTAGCAGAGTTTGTAATTATATTTGTATAAGTTAATTTATTAAAATCTGAAGCTCCATCCCCACAGTAGACTAGTCCATTGGGATGGAAGCCACACCAACTTCCACTCACCAGCATATCCTGAACATCTGGTGCTTAGCACAGACAGTTAGCATTTAAATATTTGTTCAATAAATACATGATTTCGACTATACAGATGGGAAAACTGAAGCTCAAAAAGATTAAATGATTTGTCAAGATCACAAAGCTAGCCAGTAACAGAACTGATCACCTGAACCCAGGCCTTCTGACTCCAAATCCCGAGCCCTTCCACCACTTATCCACAATTCAGTGCCCCAAGCAGATCTAGCTTCCTGCAGGAACATCTCTGCAGACTCAGCTCAGGGACACTGCCCCGGAAAGCCCTCACCATCGCCACGTCAGCAATGGCATGCGTCTCCTTTTCACTCTTCTCCAAGCACCACACCAGCCAGGGCTGCGTCCGTCAGTGTTTGGTAATTACTGGCTCACTTGTCTCTTTCACCACTAGACTAGGAGTTTCTTGGAGGTAGAGTTTGACCTTGATCATCTTGCATTCCCATACCTAACACAGTACCTGGCAAATAAAAGGCACTCAATACGCTTTCATGAATGTATAAATGACTAGAAGTGGCTCATCACTTCCCTAAGATACAAGGAACTGCACACCCTCCTCTTCCAAGCTGATTTAGGCTCTCTCCTTTGTCCTGGGCTTCCATCTCCCCCCGTGCACACACCTGTCATAGCACTTTACACACAAGATTATAATTGGTTTGTCTTCCTCACTAGCTTCTAACCTCTGTAATAGCAGACACTATATTATTCACAGTAGGCTTTCCAATAAATGTGAGATGAATGAATGAATGCACATATGAATGAATGTTACTTAAGTCATTCAAATATCTGTAGTGATTAGACTTGATAGAAATATCAAAAAAATTTGGAGAGGAGAAAGCAATTAAGCATTTAAGACCAAGTCAAGCCAGAGAAGTATATGCAAAAGGAACTAATTTTCAATAATCTTTAACCTCCAAAGTCCTAGGGAAATGAAATAACATGAGCCTCACAGGCCATTCTGTTATTGATAGCCATGCCCAAGACAATGTCCACGTGCATACCGGGAATGTTTCTAAGCTTTCATACAGGGGAGGCACTCTACCTCCGGCTAGGCACATTCTGAAAATCAATATATTAAGACTCTAGATCAATGGTTCTCAACTGAAGTTACAAATCATAGCTGGGGAGCTTTAAAATTCAGCATTCCTGAGGCTAAAGCCCAGGCATTTAAAAAATTTCTCTATGTAAGTATACTCTGCAATCTCTACAAACCACTGTTTTTGGCCAAAGGTCAGTGAATGCTTTCTGTAAAGGGCCAGAGAGTAAATATTTTAGGCATTATAAGCCATATAATCACAGTTGCAACTACGCAACTCTGCACTGTAGCACAAGAATAGTCACAGACAATATGTAAGTGAAAGGGCGTGGCTGAGTTTCCATAAAACTTTATTTATAAAACTGGCAATCTGCCACATTTGACTCATAGGCCTCAGTTTGCCAACTTCTGCTCCAGGCCAATGGACTACCTGTCCTGAAGAAAAACAGAGCAAAACAATCTAAAGAAGCAGTTCTCACACCTAGGAATGCATTGCAATTACCCGGGGGCTTCTAAAATCTAATACACACAGAACCACTGGTGTAAAGTTTATTAGAAGGTAACACCCACCTCTTCCAGTCAAGTACTTCGGAGAAAGGCAAAATATAGGAGTCTGCGATGACAACTGGGACACAACCAGCCCGTAATACGTCACTCAATACCGCCTGGCCCAGCCGAGCTCCACGAAGGACCACACAGAAAGTAGCCTCCTGTAGGAACAGATGCAGAAGTAGGGGATTACAAGCCACTTTCACCGACTCACTTACTCTGATCCCTGCAGACCATGAAGTTCTCCCAAAGGCTGAAGCCAAGCAATACTGAGGTATTCTGACACAAAAATGTTAAAAGATAACAACTCACACCAGTAAACTTGAAAAACTAACTGGCTGCAACATTTCACATTTCTGCTTTTCAGCATTACCTCAATGCCTCCACTGTCAGCATCCTGAAACTGTTTAAAACCCATGTCCAAGTCCTCTTCTGGATACTCAACAGTATGATTTCCCACAGACTGGTCTCTTTCAGCCCTAGTGTACTGGAAAAACACACCGTGGCACAGTGGCTGGACACCATCCTTACCACGGCCTACCTTGTAATGGAATTATTTTGTCTGGGCATATCGGGCTCTCTAGAGGAACCCCTAAAGAGAAGCCATCAAATATCGTTTCATCTTCTATTCCCTATTGCATCTAGCTTGTCCTTTTCATATAGAAGACAGTCATTTCATGAATGCAATGCCTTTGAAAACAGATTGAGAGAGAAATGTTCTATTTAGAAAAAAATAAATCGAACAAAATGCAAAATCTCAAAAGATTCTTCTCCATTCACGTTCTCAATGTGGGGAACATTTGGGAAAATAAAAGATGCAAGGGACAAAAAACAGTTGCAATACGTAAACCAAAATAAGGAAGGACCCTCTCTCTAACACTGTTTCTCTCAGTTATTGCTCATCAGGAGAAGAAAACAAAATTTTAAAAAAGACATTATTTAATCTTTAAAGCTAGAGAAAAGGAACATTTAGAAAAAATATGAAGAAACTCAATATGCCAAAGTCCTCTGGGGATAAAAGAGAAAAGCAGCAAGAGTCAAACAAGAGAATCCGTCATGGCGCCCGGCGGCGCAGGTGGACAGCTCGGCCTGCCCTGAGGAGTCGGCGTCCAGATGTGGACACACGTGCTGATAACCATTTTTCCTGTCTAGACAAAGGTTACTATAAATACTCCTGTTCACATCACCACTGTTATCAGTCAGACATTCCAGAGGAGATGCAGCACTTTTTGAGAGAAAGTATTTTAACAATCTCAGCATGGGCCAGTTCTCTTTGGAGATTAAAAAAAAAAAAAATCATACCAGCTCCTTGACATTTCTCCTTGAACTAACCTGTCCGCATTTTAAATATTTAAGGGAACAAAACTCAACATCTCCTTTCCTAGCCCCCATTCCCTTGGAATGTCAAATATCCTGCTTCTAAAATCTTCCCAAAAGGACTGCTTTGCCTGTGGTTATGGAAGCACTGTCATTCCCATGATTTAAGTATAGGACATGCCACCAGTAGGACATGCTAAGGGTGGCAAACACCCAAAGAGAAAACAAAGACTAAAAAGAAAACTTCCACTCCTAGGAAAAGCGGACTGCAGCCTTCGGGCAGCCCAGTCAGAGGACACAGGCTCCATTGAGAGAAGAAAAGTTCTCTGGGGTAAAAGCAAAACACCCTTGCCTGCTTTGTCTATGTGGCTTCTTTGCAAATCTCTCACACTTGCATTTTTGAAGTATAACAGATATTTGAAAGAAGTATGAACACTCACGGCCAAGCAGCTCTGCACAAACACTGTGCCCCACGTCGAAGCACCTGAAAGTCTACTCCCCCAGGAAAGAGCAACACTAGTTTCTCCTCCCGCAGGAGTTCTCTGGGTTGCAAGTGGAGAACAGCTCCTGTCTGCTGGGGTGGGTTTTACTTCGTGGGGCTGACCTCTACTGAGCCTTGACAGAGGTCAAGAACGAACTCACCTGCAGCACCTGGGGGTACTCGAAGACCCGGTGCTGGTGGCAGCGCTTCCGAACGGGGAGGACGTCCTCGGACAGGTTGGTGCATTTGTCTAGCACTAACACTGACTCTCCGTGTTTGGCCTGGAGGGCTCCCAGCTCCTCTCGGAACTCAGGATGGAGAGCCAGCTGAGATGACAGGAGGAAATACCGCCGAGGACTATAAAGGGAGACAACGGTGACTGGAAAGCTGCAGCCAGTACGTTAGTCAACGCAAGACAAACTCTGACACTAAACATGCGGCAGTAAATGCTTTCTCACCAGTTTGGGGGGAAATAATACTCTAGTATGACTGAGTGTTTAAAATATTATATACTACAAGAGAGTAAAGTATGACTCATTCACATGCTGAAATATTATGCAATAGTTAAAAACGTTATTTGGGAAAAGTTCTTAATGTTCTGAGGAACTGCTTACAATATGCCAAGCTTAGAGAGCCTGCTACAAATACGTGTGTGTCTGTGTGTGTCTGTGTGTGTGTGTGTCTGTGTGTGTGTGTGTCTGTGTGTGTGTCTGTGTGTGTGTGTCTGTGTGTGTGTGTGTCTGTGTGTGTGTGTCTGTGTGTGTGTGTCTGTGTGTGTCTGTGTGTGTGTCTGTGTGTGTGTGTCTGTGTGTGTGTGTCTGTGTGTGTGTGTGTCTGTGTGTGTGTGTCTGTGTGTGTGTGTCTGTGTGTGTGTCTATGTGTGTGTCTATGTGTGTGTCTGTGTGTGTGTGTCTGTGTCTGTGTGTGTGTGTCTGTGTGTGTGTCTGTGTGTGTCTGTGTGTGTGTCTGTGTGTGTGTCTATGTCTGTGTGTCTGTGTCTGTGTGTCTGTGTCTGTGTGTGTGTGTCTGTGTGTGTGTGTGTCTGTGTGTGTGTGTCTGTGTGTGTGTGTGTCTGTGTGTGTGTGTCTGTGTGTGTGTGTCTGTGTGTGTGTCTGTGTGTGTCTATGTGTGTGTCTGTGTGTGTGTGTCTGTGTGTGTCTGTGTGTGTGTCTGTGTGTGTGTCTGTGTGTGTGTGTCTGTGTGTCTGTGTGTGTGTAAAAAGAGAGAAACCGACTGACCAGTTGACTGATTGGAAGAAACATCAACATTTTATCATTAGTTATGGATGATTCTCTGATCAAAAAAGGAAATGAGAGCGGGAACCCTTCACCCGGGAAGAGAGGGAAACGTGACGGCAGCACTGGCTGTAGAACCAGGAGAGATGAAGGGCTGCTTCGGCTGTGAACGGCACCCTCACGCTATGAAGAAGCTCCAGGAAAGACCGCTCCCATGAAGGCCACCTGAACATCAGGAAGACCCAACTGGTAATTGAGAACAAGTGGACAAAATATCTTACCAGAGGATGGAATCAGTTCTAACATCTGGACAGCAAGGATGCTTAAAGGAAAATGGAGTGAAGAAAGGACTCCAGAGGGTCTAGTGCCACTTCACCTCCGTAAGAGAGAAGAATGAAAACACAAAGTTAGAGGTAAGCCAGAAGTCAAGGGAAAAGTGGGGGGAGACCATGTGGTAAGTAATTTCCTCCTAGAATGCAAGAAGACAGAGTGGTTACAGAGCATAAACACTATACAGATTGAGAGATCACTAGAAAGAATATAAAGCAGGTTCCAGGGAGAAATGAAATGCCCATCACACCTAGAAGCAGCCCTCACTATCTACCTTTAACTGGTACAGACCAGGGAAAATACGAGGGCTACGCATCTCATAGGCTGGATGACAATATGAGTCTGTTCATAAGAAAGGACCAAAAATCTACACTCTGTGAACCATCTCTACCCCCCCCCCCCCCCCCCGCTTTGGAAAGAAAGGGAGGATAATTGTTTTAGTTTTCTTTAGTTTCTTAGCCGTATTTAGAGGGTCATACATCCATTGCCAAAGAGTAATCAATCATTCTCTAACTGAGGTCATCATCTTTACTGAGCATTAAGCTTCAGGTCCAAACCACACAGAGCAATGAGTGCAGAAGGTGAACACTGGCCTGGCCAGTCAGATCAGCTACATAAACCAGAAAACAGAGCAACACAGCCAGATTGCTCATAAATCCTCAGAACCATTTCTTTGTACAACTGAACTAAAAGCAAAAGGCATTTCCCACACCACAGTGACAAAAGAAAGGAATAAGCAAACTTCCTAGAACCTCACTGTTCAATAGCAATTAGATACATCAGGCCATCTAAATTAAAGTTTAAAATTCAGTTCCTCAGTTACATCACCCACATCTCAAGGGCTCACCATATGTGGCTAGTGGGTATATCTGACAACACAGATACAGATCACCACCTCAACACAGAAAGTTCTGCTTGCTAGAACAGCCCTAAATGGTAGCCTCCACCCAGAGGCCAGGGTCAAGGTAAGTGGAATAAGACAGGCACAGAATAACATTCCATCAAGGAGACCATGTGGATTAGTTGCACAGACTAGCTTCTCTCATCCTGGGCAACTTCCCCCTACATTATAATCTACTGAACAATAAGCTCAATATTTATATCCAAAGTGTTTCTTCTAGACACTGAAATAGACTCTTGGTTTCTACTCCCAGCTATAAGCCCCAACAATTTTTCTTTTGTGAAAGCATTCACTTTCAAAGGGATGACTTAGTGATGAAAAGATCAGATACAGGGAGCACTCTCAGATCACCTCGAAGTATTTCTGTAATCAATCTTGTCTGTTTAAACAGGAGAATGCATTATAGTCAAACTCACAAGCAAGAAAACCACCTTAATTAAAGCTATCTGAAAATGAAATGGACTGCAAGAGTCTTATTTTTATTACAAATCTAAAAATTTTTCATTTAGAAATTATAGTAAAAAATCATGCATCAAGTTAAGGCTAAATGGCCTCGAAAGGTCTTTCCAATTCCTAAGATGCTGGTACACGGTACTTGCTGGATGTTTCTGGACACTTTGTATTTCAGTAGAGCTGCTAGCATGAAACTGAAACTCCACACTGTCCAGAGTAAGAACAGACATGTTGGCATCCAAGAGGGTGTGCACGCAGGCTGATGTAGTGTTGGAGTCCTCATAGGAAGAGACCATCTGTGCATGACGAGGTGGCCCATAGGGAGTGTCGAAGCCCTTGTAAGTAAGCCTTTCTACTTGGGGAAGAGCAGGGAGGTGGCCCAGCGCAGGTATGAGAGCCCTAAAAGGGTGACTAAGGTTTCTGCACTGTAGACGGGGTGGAGGTAGCCATAGCAACCCAGCATGCATGCTGGAAACCAAGTGAGGTTAGGGTTAATCTGGGAATCCCAGAACAATGTTTAGAGCCTGGGCAGGCTGAAAAGGATGCCCCAGTTGTGGGGAGAATGACGGCAATGGTAGTGTCACCCCAGTGTGGGGTGTTGGAACCCAGAAAAGGGTAAGGAGGGTATCTATGCTTGGGGGGGGGGTTCAGCAGCAGGAGTACTACGTGGGGAGGGAGGAGGTGTTGGAGTCTGAGTGAGAGTGAAGAGGGCATCTGTGCCATGAGGTGGGGGGCAGTGGCAGCAACCGAACCTTGGTTACATGCAAGAGGGCTGATCAAATAAGTAGAGAGGTTGAGGGTAATGGGAACCAGATTTCTCCCTGTGAGAGAAGGGAGTTACAAATATGGAATTAGAGATATCAGTAAGAACGCATGGTTTTCAATAAACATACTTTTAGAGAAGGAGATAGACTCATCTACACAGATATAGAAATAGATAGAGGTGTAATGTGTGGTGCTCAAAGAAACTCTCCAGTAACGAGTAACGAAGGACTCCGGGTTAGACTTCACTGCTAAGACACCAAGTTCCACTTCGGACAGTCAGCACAGGACCACTGGGTCCCACTCGACCGCTACTCCATTTCCAACATAAATGTGCACATGTGGACAAGAACCTAAAAATGCTTCCCCTGCTCCATGAGGATCTCCCTGACCTGACAGATGTTTGATGGAATATGCCCATTTTAGTTTTAAGCAAACAAAATGTTCAGGTGGATTTGTTTTTCTTTCAAGGGTTAAAATTACTAGTATGACTTTCATGTTTCCTCCCAGCAGTACTGATGTCCAAGTTTAAGTAAAATCATGCTGAGAATTTGAAGTCTCCCTCAATAGTAACAGTTGTAAACTCCCAATTTAGTTCCCTTCAGACAGAAAATGACAAGAATTCCAGCTGAGGCCAGCACAGCTGTGAGAAGAAGCTATCAATAGCAACAACCCTCAACTTCCCATTGAAAAAGCAGAGAGAGATTTAAAATAAAAATAAAAATGAAGCTCTTGCTACTCTATATAGCCCTCAAGAGATGTGGGAATTCCCTTAAAAAGCAACTCTCACAAAGAGCAACAAATCCAAAATGCTGCCAAGAGGTCACCCACCCTACCTCCTCCCAAGTCTCTGGAAAGGATGATTAGCCTGGAGCCTGACTTTGCCTTATTTTTTTTTCTTTTTTGACTTTTTTGGGGGAAAGGAGGAGGTGTTTATAAAAGAAACAGTGCAGCTGCAAGTCCAACCTGTGGACTAGAGAGGAAACGTGGATCAGATGCAGAAATCCACCAACTGGCCAGCAGAGGGAGGATCATGCCCAGTGCAGCCTTGAACTTTCTTCTACGACCCTTGAAGATATATCTAGTTCCTAAACCCCAGAACTTCAGAAACTCACTGAGACCTTAAGTGATCCAGTTAAAGATCTTAATTTCAATCTAATTATACATAATAATTATGGATTCATTAAGAAAATACCACCAATATATCAGTTTAAGTCTTTGAAATTAATTTAAAAATAGTAATTTTACTGTTTGGAGTGAGTTAGGTTTTTTTCTGTCTTTTCATTTTGGTATGTTTCTGCCCTGGATTAAATTAGAAGGGAATTACGAGTCCTAAACCACTATATGAGAGCTAGATTATACTGGAGAGGTTAGATAACAAAGAGAGTTTAGTTCAAGCAGTCTTCAGAAAGACAGAGCTGACCTAATAGACGGGTCCCCACCGCTCACTCTCTGCCTCACCCGGGCTTTCTCAACCACAGTACCGCTGACATTGGGATCCAATAATTCTTTGTTGTGGGGAGTTGCCCTGAGCATTGTAGAGGTTTAGAGGCATCCTTGGCCCCCACCAGTAGATACCAGGAGCATCTTAAGCAGAAAAGAGTCAACACAGCAGGCCTGACTGCTCTCCTTCGAAAGGTTGGCCCTTGGCTAGTATATGGGAACTTGGATTTGGGGGATTTCCCACCATCCCCAGAACTGATGAGAACTGTGCCCAAACTGTTTGTACAAACAACATGGTTTATATCGAACACCTGTTTTCCTTCTGGGAGTCTGGAATTTCGGCACATGCCAAGTACTGATTGCCCATGTGATTAGCTCCCAATAAAAAGCCTGGGCACTGAATTTCTAAGGAGCTTCCCTACATTTTTCACGTGTTGTCACAACGTGTACTGGAATTCAGCCGTCCTATGTGACACCACTGGGAGAGGACCCTTGGATGCCTGCAGTTGGTTTCCCTGGACTCCACCCCATGCACCTGTTCCCTCTGCTGACTACGCTTTGTAGCCTTGTGCTGTAATAAATCATAGCGTGAGTACAACCAATTATATGTTGACTCTTGTGAGTCCTTCTGGCAAATCACTGAGATCGGAGCTGGTCTTGGGGACCCCAACACACACGGCCTAGGTCATAATAGTGAAACATGGCTCCATACATTGCCTAATACTTCTAGGGAGACAAAATCAACCCTCCTCCCTTGTTGAGAACCACCAGCCTCGCCATACTTCAGTAAAGGTCTGAGTTGAACTGAAGTGAAATGAACTAAATTAAGCAATTTCCAGAACTTCAGAAAAAATAAAGCAAAGGGTTAAAAAAACCTTGAAAAAAAATTCAATTGATTTAAATTTAAGTAAATGCTCACAAAAGCAGAAAGCAGAGAAGTAAACTTTTTTTAAGCTCCACTTACAGTTATTCATATTCAGTGCTACATAAATATGCCAAATTAAGATACCAGGTACATAACAGAAACTTGTACCCCCCTACAGGGTACAAGTTGTAATAACATAGACTATCCTTACTCATTTTATGGAAATCTAGCCTCGAAACACAGCTACATCATTTACTCCAGTCTATAAATTCTCTGTAAGAATTATTTTTTTTAATTTTCACCTTATGATGATTCAAAAAAATTAGTATAGGCATGTTTAGCATATTTAATGATGAACACTGCTAAGTATTTTTCAATGTTCAAGTTTGTATTTAATGAGCTAAAATTTTTTACACTTTGCTGTCTGCTTGAAGAGTTTCATCATAAAATGTTGGGGGAAAATATGAATCGGGTATCTCTACGAGATGAAGATAATGATGTCACATAATACTGTAAGCCATATAAAGGGAAACTTCCCACAGAAGGACATCATTACCCAACAGTAAAGGCATGTCAAACCCAAAACACCATTGTTAACTCCATATTCACCTTGAAAGGTAAAATTCAGTTTCAAAGAAAAAGCCCCAGCTATCATGTTATGTTAATCTGAATGATATTAATTTTGCCAATTTGTTTGTATTTAATTTGTAAATTTGTTTTAGCATTGCAATTGTATAAGAAAGAAGAGTTTAGTTTAGATCTTTTTTTATTTGTACTTATTCAAATTGCATTACAAAAAAGTAATTAAAATTCAAGGGACCTTGAATAACTAAAAAAAAGACCTTGAAAAACAAGAACAAAGTTGGAGAACTCACATTTATCGATTTCAAAACTTACTACAAAACTATGGTAATCAAGACAATGGGGTAGTGTCATAAGGAAAAATAGATTAATGGAACAGAACTGGGAGTCCAGAAATAAATCTATATATCTATGGCTGGTTGATTTTCAACAATGGTGCCAAGATAATTCAATGAAAAACAACAAGCCTCTTCAACAAGTGTTGCTAAGATAACTGGATATCCACAAGTAAAAGAATTAAGTTAGACTCTTACCTCACACCATATAAAAAGTGAACTCAAAATGGATCAAAAAAACAAAATGTAAAAGCTAAAACTATAAAATTCTTAAAAGAAAACATAGGTGTAAATCTTTATGACTCTGAATTAGGCAATGTTTTTTTTAAGTATGATACCAAAAGCAAAAGCAATCAAAGGAAAAATAAATTAGAGTCCATTAAAATTAGAAACCTTTGTGTGTCAAAGGACACTATTAAGAACGTGAAAAGACAACCTACAGAATAACAGAAAGTATTTGCAAATTGTATATCTGATAAGAATCTAGTATCTAAACTACACAAAAAATTCTAACAACTCAACAATAAAAACAAAATCCAACTTAAAAATAGCAAATGATTTTAATAGCTATTTCTCCAGAGGTTATATAAATGGCAAATAAGCACATGAAAAGATACTCAACACTATTAATCATTAGACATATGCAAATCAAAACTACAATAAGATATCACTTCACATCTACCATGATGGCTAAAATAAAGAAGACACACGTGTTGGCAGGAATATGGAGAAACTGGAGCCCGCACACATTGCTGGTGCAGCAATTCTGGCAAACGATCTGGCAGTTCCTCAAAAAGTTAAACACAATGTGACCACATGACTCAGCAATTCCACTCCTAGATATATATCCAAGAGAATTAAAAACATATGTGTACACAAAAATGTGTACACAGATGTTGGTAGCATTATTCATAATTACTAGAAAGTGGAAAAAACCCAAATGTCTGTCAACTGATAAATGGATAAACAAAATGCGGTATATCCACACATATGATGAAATATTATTCAGCCAAGAAAGGAATGAAGTATTGATTCCATGCTGCAAGATGGCTAAACCTTGAAAACATTATGCTAAGCGAAAAAAGACACAAAAGGTCACATACTGCATGATGGCATTTATATGAAATGTCCAGAATGAGCAAATCCATAGAGACAGAAAGCAGATTAGTGGTTGTTGCTGGGGACAATGGGTATGAAGTTTAGGGGCAGGGACAGAGAGTGACAGCTAATAGATACTGGGTTTATTCTGGGGGTGATGAAAATGTCCTGGAATTAGACAGTAGTGATGATGACAGCTGTACAACTTTGTGAATATACTAAAAACCACTGAATTGTATCAATCAACACAATGTACACCTAAAGCTTACACAGTGTTATATGTCGATTATATCTCAATTTTTAAAAACTCACTGAGTGGTATATGTTAAAAGAATGAATTTTATGGTATATAAATTATATCTCAATTTAAAAATAAAATAAATTAAGTCAACTCTGAGAGTCCATTAACAGAAAAATATCCAGAAAGTTGCTCTAAGCAACAAGTTCATTAAAGATCTAGTCTTTCTTTGCACTTCTTTGCAGTTGCCTAAGGGTACAGTAAAAGATGTTTCCATCTCACCTGGGCTTTTTCATACATTGTCTAAAGAACAAAATTTGCTATGTCTAAAGTAAGTTCCCTAATTAGGTCCCAGACCACATGGTAAGACACATATACTCAGGAGAGAAATGTCTGCACTTTGGAAAAGTTCCCTTCACAAAGAATCTGTAAAGGCTTCTAAGGGGAAGTTTGGAATGCTTTGAGAATGATTCTAGTGTTCTCAAAGTATTGCCTTGAGACTCATTTCTAAGTCCAAATGCTATGTGTGGGCTTTTAAATCTCATCCAGTATATGTCTAGGGAGAAATATACAAATCAGTCACCTTCATACAGGAGCACTTGGCACACAAGTGAAGAATTATCATCATATTTGTTTAAAGCTGAGAGTCTCACTGTGAATGAGCACAACTTGAACAGACTACAGCAAAAAATGAGACAAAATGCCCATGCTGTCAGCTCTTTTTATTTACTCACAAATCAAAAATATAAGCCAATTATGCACCAGGCACAGAGGACACGGCAGTTTAAAAACAGACCTGGCACCAGCTTCACCACACTTATAAAATCTAAATCTGAAGGAGAGGCTTTGAGCAAGTCATTATAACAGGGCACAGTGAATGGTGCACTAGTGAAGTGCAGGCTTGTGATGGGAGCACAGAGCAGAAGAGACATTCCGGGGCTAAGAACATGCCCCAAAAGTAAGAGGTATTCAAGTTGAAATCTAAAGAACAAGCAGGCCATTAGTCTGATGAAAATAAAGAAAAAGATTTCCAGACAATGGAGAGTTATTTAGCCCAGAAAAACTGAGAGCGCAAGAACTAAAGAACTAAGAGCCAAAAGAAAAAAAAGCTGGAGATGGAGACAGTGGTCCTGTGACAGAGGGACTTGGACAGTTGAAGGAGTCTGGGCTTTATCCTAAGGGCCATGTGAAGCCAATAGTCAGACTGGAAAGCAGCAAGATCAGAAGCCAGGAAACCAAATAGGAAGTCATTTCAGCAATCCAAGGGAGCAACGACAGTAACCTGGCGTAGGATGGGGGCAGAGGAGATAGAAAAGTGGACAGAGCTAAGAACTATTTAGAAAGTAAATCAACAGGATTTATTCTTTCAGTATAGACATAAGGGAGAGGAAGGAGTTAAGGACACCATGAAGATATTTAATTTGGAAAGCTTGTACATTTACTGCGAGAACACTGAGGAATAAACAGGATTGGGCTGGGATGGGAAAGGTGGGAGCCTCAAGGATGCTGGCCTGTAATCGAAGCTCTGATTGCTGTGATACCCTCCACACTGAATCGTGACAGCATCTCGTAGCACACCTGCTGTGCTGAATGCCCCTTACCCTGGTCCTTTCTCTGGAAGGTCCACCTCAGCTGACAGCGAACTATAGACAGGAATGCTGACATCGTAGCCTTGCCGGTAAGTCCACGTAGAAAAGCCACCACCAGCCAACAGAGCCCTGAAAGCAAAAAATTTTGTCAAACAATAAAGTCTTCATTCTGATAAGCTCTACAGAAAGAGACAGGAGTACAGTAAGTCCTCACTTGATGTCGTGGATGGGTTCTGCTACTTTAAGCAAAGTGACATATATGGAAACCAATTTTACCACAGGCTAATTGTTATAAACAAGAGGAAGTTCCTACTGCATCTCATCAATGGTATAAGGAAATGAGGTTGAATGAAATGACATTCAGGGACCTGCTATAATTGAGTCTTACTATCAACAACTGCTAATGTTTACTTAGTCATTTTTCCATAAAGACACTGTGCTAAATGTTCTACATTACATCTTCCGGACATCAGCTGCATTCTATCCCTGAGTTACCAGCCTTCCTCCAATGTCCTAGTAGTTTTTCCTTACTTTCCATTTTTAAAAATATATCACAGCCCAGAGGACACCCCATGAACAGCCCCTCTTCTACCTTATTCAGATCCCATTCACCTCTTCCAGAAGCCATCCCTGGTCATAAACACATTTACATAACAGGAATAACAACAGGTCCACACAGGAAGATTGGCTGGGGCAGTCACTTACCTACTCACTGACTAGTATCTCAGGAGACAATGGGCACAGAAAGCAGAGGTGACAGCCAGGTATCACATCTCACACTGCATATGCCCCAGCTTCCCTTCAATTCCTGCCCCACGCAGTTCTTTCCACTGTCATCCCAGAGCTATGCGTGAATCATGTAGCCTCTCCCAGCAATCATCATCCATTCCAGTTACTCAACCTTGTTAACCCAATTCCCTGCAGAGGAAGCAGAATCCAGAACTGGACCTTTAGTGCTTCTCTTGCAGTCTACATGCACTAGCTTTTATTCTCCATCAGAAAGCTGTGAACACACTCTTAATGGGATCCAGCAAGTAGTATAATGACACTTCATCAGAGAAAGGAAGCAGGTGTGTATCACACCAACTTTTACTGATATTCTGTCTTTGGGGTCCCAAAGCCATCAAAATCACTTACTGGGGCAAAGTTTTGCCAGTTCCATGCACTGCACAGTCTAAGCTTACATGTCTGAACTGAGAAACCACATTTTTTGTAATATTGATTGCTACCAATTCCCCTCCCTACCCTGATGACAGTGTACATTCCTTTCTAACACGACCAGTTAAAGTTAAAAGATTTTCAAACCAAAATCTAAATCTATTTGCTTAAGCTTTCTGAAACCAAGAAATGGTTAGTGAGGTAATGGGCAGGCTAAACATCTCTCCAGCTGCCAGTCTACTCTGTAAAACTTAATGACTATCCTTAGTACCAACATACGGTCTTATTTTTCCTGATTAGCATGCAGCAGTGAATACATCCAACATGAACTTGGGCAGGTTCCAGGACCATGATGGCAAGCAGACTGTGTGGGCCCCATGACCTCTTGTGCAGAGAAGCAAACATGGATCCAATACACAGGCAGTGGACAGTCTAGGTAAGCCAGGGTGGAGGGTGATTAAGTAATTACACCCATAGCCCCAGAGGAGAGGGGTGTGTATGTGGTGAGAAAGGAAGCAGGTATATATCACACCAAGTTTTATTGTTACTCTGTCCCTGGGGCCCCAAACTTTACTCTGTTCCCAGGGAGAAGGGTGGGGTTATGTGCAGGTAGTAGAAAAGCATGCAGTCTTGTGTCACAGATCACACACTTGCGATCTCCATCTGTGATCTCGAAAGAGCCTCGAATGCCATTAGTCACACAGACCTCACACCAGCCCTGTTATTGACAAGACTTCAACTTTAAGTCACTATATCTTCTTCTGCCAAGGTTTCCATAACATTGTAATGGAGAAAATATTGTAAGCATCCCTTGTTTGAAAGAACACGTGTTTTACATTGACTGAAAAGTGAGTTTCTGAGAAACTCATTCTGTTTTCCCATTATGTAGTCCAAAAGCAGAGATCAGTCAGAGATCAGTTCTAAAGCTGCGAGAGAGTGGGTTGAAAATTCACAGCTTAAAAGGTATTAATATGATGAACAGACTCATGCCAGACTAAGTGTTAGATCACTTAAAGTGTCCTCCAGTATTTTTAGCACTTTCCAGGACTTCCTGACTCTAGGTCATCTCCTCTGTCACCGAACCCTCCCCACGGTCTCATGAACTCACGGTCCCCAGTCCAGGTCTTTCCTCAGATGTTCTCATACTTCTCCTCCTCCTGTCTGAGTATTCAGTACCTAAACACTGTCTGCATCTTTATCCTTGGCTTTCTTTTAATCCATGCTGATCAATTCTTTTGGCCATACAGGGTGGGGCATATAGGTTTATAGCTGTGAGTATGCAAAACACACTGTATTTATTCTTGCATTATTTATGAATTATTGTATCATTTTCCATACAAACAACTGTAAACCTACTTTTGCCCTACCCTGTATTCATTTACTGAATCAAACAAACCATTAAAAAAAAAATACCTGTGAAACAGGTAAATTTGAACAATGGCTAAATATTTGGTGAATATTCAGTAACACTAAAAAATTACTATTAATTTTTAGGTATGATAATAGTACCATAGTTGGTTTTTCAAAAAGCTCTTATCATGCAGATTCAAATGGAAATATTTACAGATGTGATGACATAACATCTGGGGTTTGCTCCTAGATAACCCGGGTAAGAGTACAGATGAATGGAGACTGGCCTTGAGTTGATGATTACTGAAGCTGGTCGGGGAGGGGGGTATGGGGGTGGGGGATGTGGCATTCACTGTACCAGTGTTTCTTCTTTTATATAGGTTTGAAATTTTCCATAATAAATATATACCCACACAGAATATAAATTTGTGAGCGATATGTGCAAAGAATAATAACAACCCAAGGTAGTAATATTATACAGCATATCTAAGAAAACAATGATCAGTCAAGTAAGGCACTGAAGAAGAATATGCTCTCAATTAAGTTAATATATATATATGTGTGTGTGTATATATATATGTGTGTATATATATAAAACCCATAGAAAAATACACAGTATTTGAGACCAATGATTACCTTTCAGTAAGGGGGTGAAAAGAGAGCAGGGTTGAAAGCATATTTAAAAATTTTATTCTTTATACACTTGCATATGGTTCCAACCTTGTACAAAATACACGTGTACCATGTGTATGATTTTTGAAAATTGAAGAAAAAATAAAAACAGATTTAAACAGCATAAAGATATTTGCTGAGCAGACATTTCCTGAAGACCAGGCCCTTGCATTTCCCCGTGTGAAATCATTCCTAAGTATTCCCACCTAGGACTAGACTTTAGGAGACCTTGGAAACCATCTAGTCCAGCCCGTCTATTTTCTAATTCCCGAATAATCTTATATGCAGTTCCTGCTGAAACCATTCTATTTTCCTGGTTTTGCCTGCTCTGAATCCAGGAATAAGGACAAAGGATAAGAGAAATTAACAAACAAATCCTCTATTCCTTACCCCAACCAGAGGACCACCTAGGTTTCAAAATGAATTTTCCACATGCAAAGATGCAGAAGGACTGTATGGTGATTCATTACTTGCCACAGGATTGCTTCTAATCACTTACAAAAATACATGCACAGGAAAAACAATTTAACCTTTCTGATTCTTAACACCTAAGAACTAGCAAGAACTTAAACTTTCTCCTCACTACTTGACACTTTCCTGCAGAGAAATGAAACCCCATTTAACATGTGTACTTGATAAAAATAAAATCCTTCTCCCGTGCAGTTACATATACCAAAATGTCAGCAAAAAGCGAAATGTCTCAAACAGAAATAAGCCCTTCTCAAAATAAACCCAGAACAGCAGGTGAAGACATTGCATTCCTAACAGCTCTTTTCCTCCCCTTCTCTGTTCTCTAACGGATTTCCCTTTCCCAGAACAACCAAATCCATAAAACAGTAGCCCACTCAGGAACACTGGAGCTGAGAGCCAAATTAAGGATCACTTTGCATTTAGCTGGTTTCTATAGAATTTGTGTAACGTGGCTGCCCTCTATCGTCCAAAATGGTTTCTAAGTTGAGGAGTGATCCTTGTGTATCCTAGTGATAATTGTATTTCCAGATAGAAACACAACACTGACTCTAGATAATACGTAGAGCAAAGAGGGCTTAGATTTAATCATCTGGGGAAAAGTAAATAGTATTAAGTGTAGATTTTGACAATGTTAGACCCTAACAAATTGAGAACACAGATGGCCCTGAGCTAGTCACTCAGTAACAATGGTTTTAAGAGTTAAAATTGGTTATAAATGAGTTTGTGCATAAACTTATAACAATCCTAACCCTTTAGTATTGCCCGGGACTCTTATCTTGGGCCCAAGCTTTCTGCCCTTCTTAAAAGCTTGAACCCAGTATTAGGAAAGGAACCTTAAGTGGCATCTCATTCCTGAACTTCCCAGGATGCTTCCAGTCAAAGTGCATCAGTCCATGTATAAAAGGGCTGATAAACATAGTAAGCAAACTCAAAATCATAAGCATGTAATCTTGGCTACCCCATACCACACCTGCTGTCTGGAAGATTAACTAGGAAGGGAGCAAGGGAGGGGAGAAGGAGAGAAAGGAAAAAAGGAAGGAAAGCAAGAACCCCACTGGCTGAAACATCAGACAGAAAATGATGTGGTCTCCTTTCCCGATATTATAGACTTTGGGCATCACTTACACACCACCATGCCCTCTTCCCTCAGTAAACTGTGGCTCTACTTTTGACAAGGGCTCATAAATTCAGAGAGTTGACACAAGCCAATCATGAACCAGGCCTTAGTGGGTGGGGTGCTACACTCAGAAGAGCATAACCCAGAGTAAGAAAAAAAAAAAAGATAGTTTTTAAGATACTATGCTAGAACATAAGCTGTAATTGGTTCTCAACAATGGATTTCAGCAGGTCTCAATAATCCTATATCTTGAAGAGAGAAATGCCTAGGGCAATTTTTTTATTTTAACAAACAATTCTGATTACAAAGTATGTCCCAGTAGACTCAGAAATATGATTTCACGAGAACAAAATGTATTTACTTAATCCTCAGAAACCCATCACAGTGACAATCCCAAATGCACCTACCTGTCTCTGGGGACATCCAGAGCCGTGTTATAATCTGGGGGACCTCCAGGCAACATATTGAATAGCAGGTGGTTTGTACCTCGATCCCACCTATTAAGAAATTAAACATGTAGGAGAATTCACATGTTGATGATGAAGAAACAAAAACAAGTCTCAGTTACTGGATGACAAGTAACAAGTATCCCCAACCTGAAACTTCTCAGGAATGCCAAGTGAGTTTCTAGCAATTCTAGCAGTACGTCAGGTATTAGCCTGGAGCCTCAAAAGGAAAAAAATGGATAGATGTGTACTCCAAGCGTGTCCACTACAGAACTGTTTACGATAATGAAAACTCTCTGAATATGTACGATTTGGTTAGAGAAATAAAAAATAAAGTAAAAATAGAAGGCTGATTAAATGCATTTTGGAACATATGCAAAATGGAATGCTATACAACCCTTAAAATTATAAAATTATTTGAAAATATATTCATGATTAAGAAAAAAGGGCAGCAAGAGAGTATGTACTGTGTGATCCCATTCTTGACAAAAATGTATATGCATATATATGTGTGTGTGCATGTCTTACCCTCACCCGAGGTTATGTTTTATTGAGAGAGAGAGAGAAACATTGATGTGAGCAAAACATCAATCAGTTGCCTTCCATGTATGCTCTGACTGGGGATCGAACCCATGACATTTTGGTGTTTGGGATGATGCTCCAACAAGCTGAGCCACCCAGCCAGGGCTATGTATATATTTTTATACAAAATATATATATATATTCATTCACTTGCATATATTTCTATGTAAAAATTACTGTAAAGTAAAATCAAAACATTAATGATTATCTCTTAGAAATAGATTATCTCTTGAAACCCAGCTGCCACCTGTAAGAGAGCCTCACACTCTTCTTTTTGTTTACCTGTATTTTCAGACTTTTTACAGTGAACATGTATGTGTAAGTAATAAAGAGGTGGAGAAATGTATTTAAATTTAAAAGAAAAGTATGGGAAATGAGCCATCCTTAGTTTTTAAGAGAGAGAGCAGCTGGGAGCCAGCTCAAGAGGAAAAACATTGCTCGCCCTCTCCCTCCCCTTCCTTTCAGCTCCCTGAAGGACTTGGCTCTGGTCTGTAAAAGTGCTAGATACCTAGAGAGCTGGGCCAGTGCTTGTGCTGTCTCCTTAATGCGGAGCGTGTTCTGGTTCAGCACATCGATGGAGGGGACAAACAGGCAGGCCCGGGTGATGTCGTCAGTATAGTAGTCACTGTCTGAGATAGCCGTGAGTAGTTCATTATACTCCCGGGAGATGGTGTTGCTGACTGGGATGCCAGAGTCATCCACGTACTTTTTCAGAGAGTAGATATACACCTTGATTTTGTTCTTTGGGTTGAAGCCACAGCGGTAGACATCAAAACATGTGTGCATTCTGCAACTGAGATCACCCCGCTCGGGGATGGGACTATCGGCTGGCAGCCTGACCACTGGCACGTCTCGGACACTGCGCTTCTCCACACTCCAGTCATTTGAGGCTTCGATGGAATGAGGCCAGAACTGAAACATGCCAGTGGCGATGAGGCCCAGGAGGACAACAGAGAAGAGGGTGATGTAATAGATTCGGTGTTTGGTCTTCATCCTTGGGATGAGGGCAGGACCCCGGATATTGTATTTGACTGACGCACACATAATGACACAGACAGCCTCTTCCTCACGCTCCTGGTTATCAAGTGAAGAAAGGAGAAAAATGAAGTATTTAGGGTGGCAAATGACAAGTGAAAGTACTGTTTAATTTTTAATATACCCATTTCTTTCCCTTATGTGGTTTGATGAAATAATAAAAAGAAATTTTGACCATTCTTTGTATAAATGAATATATGCTATATATTTAATATTTAATACTATATATACTACTCAATACAAATATTGTTATATAATAACAATAATATAACTGTATCTTATAAACATATATTCACCGAAGGCAGGAACTGGTAATGTGTGGGGCCTAGGAAGAGGGGTGCTGACCAGGAAGAGAAATCCAAAGTGGAATCACTAAAGACTTGCTTTGTTTTGCTTTTAAACACTGTCTAACATAAACTGATGCTTCAGCTGGACAAACTGATTCTTGGTTATTCTAAAATCTGTTTTCACTCATTTATTCATTCAACCCTCTATTGAGCAACTACCATGCACTGTGAAGGAAACATAGAAGGAGGAGAGACCTCACCACAGAGGGACTTACGTTCTAGTAAGGATGACAGACAAACAAAACTGTAACCAAAACTGCAAAATATATAAACAGCACTAGAAAGGGTATTAAAGAAGAAAATCTTAATCTTTAATCTTTAAATAAAATATACATTGATGTTTTATAATGAAGGTGGTAATTGACACATTTAGATGAAAGGAAAGAAGAAAGGAAAAGGGAGGGAGGGAACAGGGTAGTGGGGAGGGAGGGAAAGAAGGACTAGTGTGGTGGATCAATTCCTAAGTTTGATGCCAACAATTCTTCTCATCAATGAATGTGTAAACCACTTTTCCAACAAAAGGTGAAATCTATTCCCCTTCCACTGAATCTGGGCTAGCCCTGTGACCTGCTTTGACTGAATGTGTCAGAAGTGACATTCTAGGATTTTTGAGTCCAGGCCTTAAGGGACCCTATAGTTGCTGCTTTTGTCCTCTTGAAACCCAGCTGCCACCTGTAAGAAAGCAGAGCTCCCAGTTGAAGGCAACCTCAAAAAGACCCCAACAGAAACTATGTGATGCAGACATGGACCACCCCACCAAGCTCTATACAGATTGCAGAATCTTGACTGTCATTGCTTTTGAGCTACTAAGTACTGAGTTGGTTTGTTACTCAGCCATAGCTAAATTAAACAGCCAATAAGCACCACTGACTGATACAAAGAAAATTCTTAGTCCTCAATTAAAAATTCAGAGTTACCCTGGAGGTCACAAATTAAGATCCTTACCAAACAAACTCCTCTATCTGATGCCTAGATACTATGTGGAGGGTAGAGCCTGGAGTGTGATTGCATCATACGTCACAGCCTCACCATGTTTCTGCAAAAACCACTTTGGCATTCCACATTTCAAAGTCCCAGTCTTCAAAATGGTCTCACTCCACTCACTAATCGTTCAAAAAAGCTATTTCAATAAAAGGAAATAACTGAAAAGCTCATAGACCATCTTAGAGTTTATCAACCATTTTTACTTTGGCTAAACAGAGCTCTCCCCAGTCAGTGCCCACACTAAAACCGTTTCCTGCCCAACTGCCAAGCCTTGGCTGTTGTAGTCATTATCAGCTTTTTGGGTAAAATGCAAACAGTCATGAATGATTTCCACTTGTATCTCTCAGAGACCATGAGTTAGAATATAACAAGTGTGCTTGTCACAGATCACTGTACAAAAGCTCATGCATTTTAAGCCTAAAGATTACCATCTATGGAGTATATACATGAGCTATTCAATATATGCTAATTGATTCTCTGACTGAAATGCAGGCATGAGAGCTATCTCACTTTTTCTGTCATTCTAACAACCAACAGGATGTTCCCAGCCTGCCCTCCCACACTGTCTCCTGCCCCTTCACCCCAACAGCTTTCTTGCCCCTTTGTCTTACCCCTCCTAGAGCTCAAGACTGGTCTTTGGGACAAACGCATGCCAGGAGCTGCACCATCCACTGCGCCAAGTTACAATTTCCCAACAGGCTCTCGAGGTCTATTTAGATCCTGAATCTGTGGTTCTCAAACACCCAAAGGTTGAGAATCACACAGGAAGAGTCCTTGGCCCCAGCACTGGAGGTGTGCATCAGTAGGTCTAAAATACGGTCACAAAATCTGTCATTTTAGCAAGCTCCTCAGATGTTTACTTTGTGCAAATCAGGGTTAGAGTCTTCATTAAAATTAAACAAACTACCTCAGAAAGCCACTACGACATACTTTCAAATTTTTCTTTTTAAAAATGAAATCTACAATAAGAAACACATTTTATATTGTGACCCAATACAGACACAGCACTAGCCATAGAACATTTGGTAAACACTGTATGTTTCTATTCTGTTATTCTATTGCTTTTTTAAAAATTCTAGTCATAACCTACTAGATCAATTATATCACCCAAAGTTTGAAAATACTGTTTTCACATGCTAACAAAACTGGGGTTAAGGGAACAACAGTATCCACACATGAGCTTTAAAATTTTTCATGATTTGCAAATTAACTATAAAAAAGACATTATCACAAAATAAACCTAAAGATAATAGAAGAAAATAAGTAATAAATAAAACACAGAAATTAATTAAAAAACAAAATAGACAGGCTTAACAAAGCTAACAGTTGATTTTTTAAAAAGATGAATAAAATTGACATTGACATAATTCTGGCAAGATTAATCAAAATAAAGTAAAAAGCACAAATGAAGATCTGGAATAAAGCAGAAAACAACTCTAAATGCTACATATTCTTAAAAGACAAGATGATTGATACCAATGAACTTTTGCCAATATATTTGAAAACCCAGATGAAATGGGAAAATTGTTTTAAAATATAACATCAAAATAGTCTCAAGGAGAAATAGCAAGCCTGAATACTTCTATAACATTAAAGAAACTGAATCAGTTTTTAAATCTTCTTATAAAGAAAACTCCAGGCCCAGAAGATTTTCTGTGTTCTATTAAACATTCAAAAACCAATAATTCCAATTTTACACAAATTATTCCAGAGTTGAGAAAAAGAGAACACTCCCCAGCTTATTGTACGAGGCTACAATAACCTTAATACCAAAATCTTAAAGACTGGGGGTTCTCAGAGTATGGTCTAGGGACTCTAGGGGGTCCCCACAACCCTTTCAAAGGGTCTGAATTATATTCATAACAATACTGACATTATTTTTTCACTTTCATTTTCCAGAGGCTACATGATGTGTGATATTGCAATGCAGAAATAGATGAGAATCCAGCTGTCTTTTACTAAGCTTTTCCAAAAATAATGATAAATATGAACTCACAGAGTCAAGATACTCAACTCCAAGCAGAATATATACATACAAAGAAAAGTCCACCTAGAAAAGTCAAAGTAAAAACACAAAAAAGAAAGTCAAAGAAAAATATTAAAAGCAGCCCGAGGGGTGATAGTGGTGGGGTACCTATCCAAGGTGGATTAAAAAGCTGTATGTAACAGGCAAACTTATAAAATATTTCAACACAATAGAGTATCTATGAGTTCTGAGAAGAGAATGATGTTTGAAACAATATAAGAAGTGCAAACCATAAAAAGATAAAATACTATATTCAGGGTTACAATTAAGAACTTTTGTTCAGCCCTGGCTGGTTTGGCTCAGCGGTTGGAGCGGCGACCTGCGGTACAGAGAGACCTGGGTTCGGTTCCCGCTAAGGGCACATACCTCGGTTGCAGTTAGTCCTCGGCCCTGGTTGGTCGTGCGGGTGGCAGCCACTCAATGTGTCCCTTCACATCGATGTTTCTCTCTCTCTCTTCCTCTCTCTCCCTCCTGCTCTATCTGAACAAAAAATGGAAAAATGTCCTCGGGTGAGGATAAAAAAAAAAAAAAAGAACTTTTGTTCACTTAAAGACACTATAAGGAAGTAAAAAGATAATCTACAAACCAGAAGCTATTTGCAATACATACAACTAATAAGGACTAGTGACCAGAATAAAGAACTCCTACAAAGCAATAAAAAAAAAAAACAAAAAAAAAAAACATAAAACAACCAAAAAATAAAAAAACTGGACAAAAGACTTACACACATTTCACAGAAGAAACAAAAATGGCACAGTAACATCTGAAAAGACATTTGGTCTCATTTACGGTCAGGGAAAGTAAAACCACAGTGAGACAGCTACCCACCAGCACAGGAAAGTTAAGAGTCCAACACCACCAAGGGTTGGTGGGAACCTGGAGCTGGAGGAACTCTCCTGACAGGATTGTTGCCTAGCTCCATAGTCCCAAGTGGTCAGCAGAAGGGCTAGAAAGAAGAGAGGGCTGATACCCACTATGTTAGATTCCTAAACATCACATTTTGCTCTGTACCTGTCCTAGTTTGGGTTCTCTGTCCACCCCTCCCGCAAAAAATAAAGGACCAAAGACAAGGATTAGAGTGCAGGTAGTTTACTTACTTGGGAGGTTCTCTCAGAAAGCTAGAATGATGGAGCAAGAACAGAGGGACGGGGCACTAGAGAAGGCCAGTAAGGAATGTGTTACTAAGTTGATTGCTGCTGTGGCCAACAGGGGTCCTTAGGTCTGCTAGGAACCCTCTGAAGAACCATGTAGGCTATGACTTGTCCCTCAGAAGGATGATAGTCTAGAGTATTTATCTGCCAGCTCCTATCCACTATTGCTTGAGGGTTGTCTGGTACTACTATCAGCTCAGAACCTGTAGTCAAAAGCCTTCAAAAGGTCTGGATATTATCTTTTCCTTGACGTACAGTTAGTCTGACAAAGAGTTGTGGTTCCCTTGTGGAAGGACTGGGGAACATTTGTCTATACTTACAGGGATGCTGAAAAGTACTTCTTCAAAGAGATCTCAATCCATGGGATATGGATCTGAAAGCTCACATCTGAAAACCAGGTGATGAATAGTGATTTTTCTTCTTCTTCTTTTTTTTTTTTTTAATCCTCACCTGAGGACAGTTTTGCATTATCTTCAGATAGAGCAGGAGGAAGAGATAGAGAGAAATATCGATATGAAAGAGACACATCAAGTGGCTGCCACCTACATGACCCCAACCGGGGCCGGGGACAAACTACAACCGAGGTACATGCCCTTAGCGGGGAACCGAACCTGGGACTCTCTGGTCCATGGGTTGACGCTCTAACCACTGAGCAAAACCGTCCAGGGCAAGAATAGTGATTTACCCATTGCAGCAGCTGACATCAGCCTACTTGCCAATTTTTTGTTTGTTTGTTTTCTGGTTATATAAGTCAAGCAGCGCTAGCTGCCTGCCCATCTACACTGCCCTTAGGAACACCATGCTCTATTAGCATCACAATGGGCCAAGCAAGACACACTGGTTGTGAGTCATGCCCATATGGGTATTGTGTCCACCCTACTTCTGATAGTGCCACCACCCTGAAATAGCCTCTGCTATTTCAGAATCCTATCACCTCCATAGACACTTGGGAACCAACGCCATGGTTCTATGTTCTGAAGTCAATCCTGGCCTACAGAGGACAGTCAACACTGAGCTTCTCAAAGATGCTGGTCTCCTCATTGTGCATTCCATATTTCCAGAGTGAAGGGAGCGCACCCTTCCAGGAATCTGAGCAAGTGGTGCATCTCTAGCCTTAAAAAATAATTCTACTTCAAATCTCCACCTCCAATCTCCTTCTGACGCCTTCCTCAATACTCTGCCAAGATAGCTCTGTTTTTTCTCAGTCTCGGCACTACTTACATTTTGGGCCAGATAATTCTTTTTTGTGGGGAGCTGTTCTGTAAAATGTAGAAAATTTAGTAGTATCCCTGGTTTCTGCTCAATAGAAGCCAGAACCAACTCTCAGTTGTGACAACTAAAAATATATCTAGACACTATATATAAATACCCCCTGCGGAGGCAAAACCACACCCAGTTGAGAACCAGTGGTATTGGCCAATGCCATGCCCCAGCTTCAAAGAGCCTGCCTAGCAGCACATTATGACTGGCTCCAGTTATCCTAGCTAGGTCATTAAATCCTGAATCATGAGACAATGTCCCCAAGGCAACAGTCTTTCCTTTCCAGCTTGATAGTCAACTAGTACCCCCACTCTTGGTTTAACACCCTCAAGATTCACTCAGACACGTGCTCCCCCAGTTCCAGCTGGTCCACATGAATCAGTCCTACAATTCTTTCAGTACAAAAACTTTCCCCCTTGCAGGGACAGTACTTGCCTGCTTAGGTAATGCTGAGATATAAAGGGAGAGGAAGGCAGATCTTGAGGAGGATAAGCACCATCTAGCAAGGCATGTGACCCAAGTGAGGTCTCTGCACAGTGTCCAGGCAAGAAGTTGTTCTCTATAATAGGTGGATATTTCTGCTGGCCCAGAGAATCTGAGAAAATCTGGGAGTTCAAATTTCTCAATGCCTCCACCCAATCACCCCATCGCAGGTCTCACCCCTGACTTTAACAGAAGCAACCTGTGCAAGCTGTACATTTAGCTTCCTTATGATTAAATGCGGGGCCTGGTTTTCAACACAGTCTGCCCTCCAGCTGCAGAAGATGCTACCAAAGAGCCTTCTGTTTTTCACAGGGAGTCTTGTGTTGATATCTGGCTGATCTGAACCTGATCTTACCTCAAGGCCTCTAAAGGAGATGAGAGTCAGCCAATTTCACTATTCCTATCATTACCATTTTGCACCTATTAGTCAAGTGCTAGAGCTACTGTACTAGCCAGTGCTCTCCCTTCTACCTGAATCTCATCCCAATCCACCACTGGTGACTCTTACAGCTGTGACGCTAGAAGGTACCAGGGGTCATCAACACCTCACTTACCACCAGCAAGGCGGTCCTTTTGCCATCTGAGGAGGAGTAAGTCCAGTTTCACAGTACTAGTCTCAGAGCCTGCTCTCTAGAGCCACTTCTAGTATCAACTGTCTTAGTTTACATTCTGCCAAACTAAGAAAAAGTGACTTGTGCGGATGTAGCTCACAGAAGTAATCCAAAGAGCCAGAGTGGAGTCAGGGAAGAACAGAAAGCCATTCAGGTGCATTGTGGAGTTGGTTACCACACTAAGTCGGGCAAATGGGGTTCAGTCCTGCTAAGGTCCCTCTGAAAAATGCACCTTAGAACTGTCCCTTTGAAGGATAGAGAGCTATAACATTCATCCACCGAAGTCCATCCCCTCCTGGTAGGGAGCTATTCCCAGAAATGCAAACTCACACTTCTGAGGTATGCCTGCACAGGCCAAGCAAGCTCCCACAAGTCTGTGCCGAACAGCTGAGAGATGTGGCGAGCGCTTAAGGCAGAATAAAAACTCAATGAAAGAGATACAGTAAAAAGCCTTAAATGAAAAAGAAAAGGATGAGAAATGAAGAGAAAAGCCGGTTACTAAGTGCCTTAGAGGTAAAGAACCTTCTCTATGAGCATCCACATACGTTTTGCATACTTCATTACAGCTCTTGCTACATTATATTAATCAGTTAAGTAGTTGCAAGTCTGTTCCCTCTACTGGTTATGGTTTCCTTGTAGTCAGAGTTTTTCATTTCTGCTCAGTATTCTCAGCATCTAATACCATGTCCAGAACACATTTCATAGGACCATAAAGTCTGTTCAATCAGTGAGTGTCTCTATCTTTCCCAGTTCTATCAGTGCACACACCATTCAGTTTTGAGTTGCTGTATGTGATGAATGGATTATTTTCTTTCTTGAATTAGAGTTTCCAAAGGGGGAAAACATGGCTAGGTAGAGACCTAATGTTCTGTGTCCACCCCTAAACACCCTCCTCTCCTCTAACACTGGGCTTCCCTGAAGAGGACAGACCGAAAGGAACCACAGACTAATGAACGTTTGTTCTCCATAACACCATAACCTGAATCAAAGCAAGAATTTCACAAAGCCCTACAAACTTTACCCTTCTTGAAACACATCAAACCTGTTCCTGAAAACTCTGGAACCACCTGGCTGGCTTTCAAGCACTGAGTCACTGGGAAAATCTTTTAACCCCACTCTGCTGTCCGGATGAGAGGCATTTTCTGTTCCTGGAATTATTTATTCTTAAATTTTGCCTGAATAATCTTTTCTTGGTGCTGTAGGCTACAACCAATCCACTCAGTCCAATGTTTTGAGTCGCAGTCTCTTAAGCGTTTTTAGAAAAGCACTCACAGCTGGACTCCCAGGGCCACTGCTACACTAGAACTTAACCAAACTGCGCCTGAAAACAAAGGAACCAACAGCAGCAAAAGCAGGAAAATCTGCAATTCAGTGCCTTACCTGACAAGGGTTTTTATAATTAAAGGTACCCTGTGATTAACCAGCCCTAAAAATGGTTTCTAATCAAAAACAAAAAGAAACGGTGTCCTTTGTTAGTGGGATTATACAATAATCAATTCAATGCATATAATTAAGGAACTAATAGCTAAACTTCACTGAGGACTTACTACATGCCAAGATCTGTTTTAAGTACCTTGAGCTAATGTGTTTCATCTTCCTAACAGTGCCACGTGACAAGCTATTACTACTCTCATTCTGCAGGCAGGGAAAGTGCACAGCACGGCACCCAATGGCACACAGCTAGAAAGTGCCGGTGCGGGGTTTGGAGGATGCCAGTCTGGCTCCGGAGCCCGCTCTTCACGTGTGCAGCTGCCTCCCTGGTTACCTTGAACGCCCGGGTTAGGTAGGCCTTTTCCACTCCTCCATGAGCACGGCCTAACTTGACAGAAGACAGTCTACCCATTCACACCCGCGGAGGCCACCCGGAGACTTAAACCAGCGGAAGTGAGAAGGGAGGGAAAGGGAATCATGTGTCACGGCCGCGAAGGGCCTTGGAGCTCCGAAGTTACACACCGAGTCCAGGGACAGCCCCTGGGGCCCTCTACCGCCTCGGAATGAAACGGACCCAAGCAGTCGTTTCTCTCAAAACGCGTCCACAGACCTAGCTAGTTCCCACGCCAGCGGAGAACTCCAAATGCCCCGGCTCCGAGTCGCTGCCCAGAGCCAAGAGCCCTGGCCACCGGCCCCACCGCGCCCTCAGAGGCCGGGCACCAGGTCCTGCCCACGCATCCAGCGCAGAGCCCGGCGCGCAGGACACCCCCGTGGGAGCAAACGGGCCGCAGCTCGGGGAGGAGGTGGGCGCGGTCAGGCGGAGGGCGACGCCGCGGGACGGAGGCTGCGGGGCCCGGGGGTGGGGGTGGAAGGGGCGGGCGCGGGGCAGCCGTGGGAGGGAGGCAGGTGGGAGCAAGTGCGGGCGGGCCAGGGGAAGGGGAAGGCGGTGCGGGAACCAAACGTTCCCAGAGCAGTGATGTCGCCGGCGGCCCTGCGAGGGGAGGGAGCCTCAGGCAGCCCTCGGGCCTCCGCACGGCCCGCGCTTCCCCGGCGGCCGGGGCCAGACTCCGCCGCGGCCCGAGGAGGCCCGAGCCCGCACCGGCCCTTCCGCGCTGCGTTTACCTCGGCCACGGCTGCCTCCCGCTCGGCCCCGCGCTCGGTCACCGGCTCATGCCGCAGGGCGCGGGCCACGGCAGCCGGGATGGGATCGCGGCGAGTCGCCAGCCGCCACGGTGGGCGCCAGGGCTGCGCGAACGAGCGAGGAGTGCTGCGCCGGCCACCCGGCTCGGCGTCTGACACTTAGCGCACTGCGCATGCGGGAGCGGCCGGGGCCGGCGCCCCCTGCTGGACAGGAGGAGTCAGGGCACCGCTCAGGGTTTCTCCCAGGCAGGCGCGGCAAGCTCAGGCTCCACAGTGAAACTCAAAGCCAGGGGGCCTTGTTCATAATTAAGCTGCGAACAGAAACAATGAGGCGGCATGCTTCACCTATAAAACTTCTAAAACCGATAAAAATGTAGTATTTTATTATATTCAGTACCGGTGAGCGTGTAACATCCCTAGAAGGCAATTGGCAGTATCCGTCAAATGTAAAATGTGGTAACCTTCCCTCAACCCCTCTGTATGAAGTTTACACTATGGATATTTTCAACAATGTCTATCAGAATATTCACTACAGTATTATTTCTAATATAGAGAAAAACTGAACTCAACCAAAATAAAATATGGAACATGATTAGAATGGAATAATGTAAGAATGCATATATGTGTTGGCATGGAATTATCTTCAAGATTTGTTCATATAAAAGCATGGTCTAGCCCTGGCCAGTTTGGCTCAGCGGTTAGAGCGTCGGCCTGCGGTCTGGAGAGACCCGGGTTCGGTTCCCGCTAAGGGCACGTACTTCGGTTGTAGTTTGTCCCCGGCCCTGGTTGGTCATGCGGGTGGCAGCCACTCGATGTGTCCCTTCACGTCGATGTTTCTCTCTCTCTCTCCCTTCCTCTCTCTCTCCTTCCCACTCTATCTGTACAAAAAATGGAAAAATATCCTCGGGTGAGGATAAAAAAAAAAAGCATGGTCTAAAACAGTGCAAGTATGACCCCTTTATATATGTGTGTGTATGTATGCATGTATATATATATATACCTTTTCTTATAAATATAAAACAGAAGAGATAAAATGTATATGTAGATAATTATATTAAGGTGTATGTATAATTTTTTTGAAGGAATTTAAGACACAATTAACAGTTTGGGGGAAGGCAATTGTGGAAGAAGAAATGGGGGAGACTTCTACTTTCATTTTGTTTTTGTGCTATGATGTAGCTTTCTACATGCACAGTAAAATCCCTGTTGTAAGGCAGTGAGTGGAATCTTAAAAATTCAATCAAAATTCAGTGATGTTACTGAGAAGTTAATGAAATTACCCTCACTGAGCCTATGCAGTTTTCTGATACTGGCAGCAGAATCCAAATCTATTTCTGGTCCCAGCTATACCTTAGCACCTTCTGCTGAGGACTCACTGGGACTTCCAGTGGCAAACATGACTTCAGAAATAATCTTGTGAGCTAATGCCTAGTGTCACAGACCCAGCGAGATTGGGATGAGACATGCAAAGAGGTCAATGGGGCCTTTCAGGCAGAGGAAAAAGTCACAAGCAAAGGCACAGATGTTATAAAGAAGGAGGAGCAATCAGAAAGAACGAAGAGTTTTGCAATCCAGTGTAGTTAAAACAGTATGGCCACATTTCTAGGGGTAGAAACCATGCAAGTAATTGGAGGTGAGAAAGTATAGAAGCTGTGAGAGGATGACTACAGAGAAGGAAAGAAAATATGAGCCTGGTCCTAAAGTCTCTGAGAAGGTGGTTAAGTGTCCTGGTAGTTGGCGGTTAACAGAGGAGAGGCTATTACATGACTCACTTGGAAGGTACAGGAAAAAGCAAAGATCGCACTGAGACCTGCTTACCCAGTGAGTCAGGAAATGTGGAAGCAGGAGTTAGAAGGTTATGGCTTTCAAAGAAAGTGGCATCATCAGAGTGCAAAGAGCACAGGATTTTGAACCAAACCAAACTGACTTTGAATCCTGGCTCCAATACTTTTTAGCTACATGACTTTAGGAAGATCATTCCATCTCTTTGAGACTTGGTTTCCTCATCTCTACAATGGGGGATATTAATGTCAGCTTCCCAGACATTTACTATGTTACAGTTAGAAATAATACATGGACCGGCTGGTGTGGCTCAGTGGTTGAACGTGGACCCATGCACCAAGAGGTCACCGGTTTGATTCCCAGTCAGGGCACATGCCCAGGTTGTGGGCCCGATCCCCAATGGGGGGCCATATGGGAGGCAGCCAATCGAGGTGCTCTCTCATTGATGTTTCCATCTCTCTCTCCCTCTCCCTTCCTCTCTCTCTAAAATCAATTTAAAAATAATTTTAAGAACTATCCTCTTCCAAAACATAAAAAAAAAGAAATAATACATGTAATTAACCCAACATTGAGTACATTGAAGGTACTCAAGAAAAGATAGAGAGGAGGAATGAATGAATAAAAGGCAGAAAGAAAGAAAGAGAGAGAGAGAGACAGAGAGAGAGAGAGAGAGGAAATCTTAAACCAAATAACATGGTTTACAGACAGAAAATGCTGATTTCACCAATATTCTCTTTAAAACAAGAACAAAGAAAGAGACAGCTTTTATAAACAGGAGTGTCAGGTCCTGACTGGGCAGCTCAGATGATTGGAGCATTGTCCCAATACGCCATTTGGGGGTTTGATTCTAGATCAGGGCATATACAAGTATCAACCAATGAATCCATAAATAATAAATGGAACAATAAATCAATGTTTCTCTCTCTCTCAAAAAATCAATAAATAAACGGGAGTGTCAGCACCAAGAAGGGTCCTCAGCATGTGGCTTTACAGTCAGATCACAAAGCTCATTTGGGTTCTGAACTGGGGATGGGGCGGGTGGCCCTTTGCATTCTTAGGGTGGAAAGCCCAGCCTTGGTCAGCTTGTCGCAGCAGCAGCCTCAGTTCAGGGTCCAGCCCCATACCTCCTCCCACAGTCATGAGTAGGCCATTCTGGTTTGGGATCTTCAGTGAAGGTGGCTCCTTCCCACAAAGGAGGAGGAGGAAGAGCATCCCAGAGTCAGAGAAGCCCCTCCTGACTCCCACCATGGGGTCCTGTTCACCTGGTCCCCAGCAGAGGCTGTCCCAGGTCCCAGGTCTCACGTCTTCACATCCTAAGTGCGTGGAGGACAATTTGAACATGTAGAATTCAGTCCTTTCTCCTTGTAGTTTGGAAATTACCACTCTTTTTTATTTGGGGGCCATACCCTCTCTTACATGTGACGTTCCTTTGACTTGTTTCCCTGGCAACAAAGGAGGAGGAATGGGGGCGCTGCTGAAAAGAAAGTCCAGGCTGTTTGTTCTCCTGTCGCGTCCACAGGGGGCCGAGGGCAGTCACGACTCCTCCAGTCTGTACATTACTCACAACAGAGGTTTCCAGTTTCTCCCGGTTTTGTTTAATAGAGGGAAGAGGATGGGCCAGGTCAGACACAACTTAAGGCGTCCCCCAGTGCCTCAGAGAGAGGCAGGAGCAGTTCTGCAGGGGCATGGTTATCTTCCTGGCCGACGCTCAGCCACCATCAGCCTTCACATCCCCCAAGGCCCCCGGTTGGCAGTAGCGGCCACAAGGCGACAACCAGCTCACCTGTGCTGGCCCCTGGGCTCCTGGGTCTGACAGGAAGGGGGATCTTCTGCCACCTGGGATGTGCCCTCGAGCACCTGCCGGACCCTCTGCATCCCTGGGAGAGGACAGTGAGAGCCCCGTCAGCACTCATGGCTGGGGGGGGGGGGGGGGTGGCTGAGGTAGCTGAAGCCACAAGTGGGGCCAGAAGGAAGGCAGAGGAAGGATGCACTGGGGGGTGCTGGGAGGGGAGACCACTCACCCAGGTGAAGCCGGTGGGCCTTGTCTGAGAAGACCAAGCGGAACCACCCGGGCTCTTTACACTCGAAGGCCTTGCCGAAGGACAGCAGCACCTTATTGTCCAAAAAGCGACGCCAGAGCAGCAATTCCCCCTCAAAGGTGGCCTCAGGCAGGTACTGGGAGGGTGGAAGGGGCTCAGGATGCGGAGGAGGCGTCCCTGCTCCTCAGCTGCTGGAGGGGGCTTACATTCCCTCCCCACTGAAGTACCTTCCTCAAGTCGGCCCAGATGAAGAAGCCAGCCCCCCGGCTCAGAAAGGGGATCCCCAGGGCCCTGAGCTCTCTGGAGACATAGCTGTGAGCAGCCTTGAGCCGGGCATGGTTCTCCGGCAGGTACACCTGGTCGATCCAGTCTGTTTGGGCAAAAGAGAAGACAAAATATAAATCTCCTATCAACTCTCCGCTCTGTCCCATGAAGCTAAAATGCTGAAAGCAAAAGGCCACCAGCTGCCAAGACTGGGTGAGCCCCTCTAACTGGTTGATTAGGGGGGATGGGAATATTCAGCATTCACAGTCAAGCACCTTAAATCCAGATACTTGGCCCTGCCTGCACCAGGTGCCCAAGACACGGGGTCCCTCAGGATGCAGACCCCAATCAAAGGTGACCCGCTCACAGAGTGACGCCTCCCAATGCCACAGCTGAGCTCAGCTCCAGCACAGCCCCTATCAGGGGTGGGCCTTGGGCAAGTTCACCTCCCTGATCTTTGCTTATTTGTAACTTTTTTTTTTTGGTGTCCCATTCCATGAATTTTAACACACATACAGATTTGAGTGACCGCCACCATGGCAGGACATTGTACAGCTCCCTTGCCCCGAAGAACACCTCCTGCTATCTGTTCATAGTCCCATCATCCCCTTCCCCACAGCCACTGGTCTGTTCCCTGTCACTTTTCCAGGATGCCGTAGAAGTGGAATTACACAGTGATGCCATCTTTAGAGATGGACTTCTTGCCCTCAGCCTCCTGCCTTTGAAATCAGTCCACGCCATCCTGGGTTTTATTGCAGGGTAGCCCCCGGCTGTGTGGACCGACCGCTGCGTGTGTCTCCATTCATCGGTGGCGGGCACTGGTTGTTTCCAGTTTGGGTGACGACGAACAGAGCAGCTATACACATTGGCACAGAGCTTTTTGTGTGACCATAAGGGTAAATATCTAGGAGTGGGATTGCTGGGCCATTTGGTATTTAACTCTGAAAGCAACTGCCCGTGGTTTTCCTACGTGGCTGCGCCATCTTCCATTCCCACAGCACTGCAGGTGCATCCCAGCCATCCGCGTCCTCGCAGCGACACCGGATGCTGTCACTGTTCTTTAAACTGTGGTTATTATAGCAGGTGTGCACTGTCTGGTCCCCATTTTCCTCATCTATACAATAACGGGGGGATGCAGGAATGCCTGCTTCCTAGGGTTCTGGGGAGAGACAAAGGAGACGATGCATTGAGAACACCTAGCAGGACTCAGTAAATGGGGGCACTTACAGGTCCCTTTGCTGCCTAAACTTGCCATCTGAACCTGGGAACAAAACAGATCCACACAGAGAAAAAGAGGAGGGGAGTGAGGGATGGAGAGAAGGAGAGAAGGAGAGGGAGAGAGAGAGCAAGGGAGAGGGGGAAGGGAGAGAGAGGGAGGGGGAAAGGGAGGGAGAGAAAGGGAGAGGAAGAGGCAGAGAGGGAGAGAGAGAGTTCCATCATAACATTTTTCAGGCAGTAGATTCTGCTCTTTTCTGAGTGCTCACAGCTAGTAATGAGTTCACACTGACCAAGTGCCTATTATACACCAGCTACTATTCTAATTGAATGAAAAATAACACTTGTTAACCCTACAAGGCAGGTACCATTATGACCCTGTTTTACAGATGAAGAAACTGAGGCCTGACGAGGTGAAGGAATGTGCCACACAGAGTCAAGGTGTGAACCCAGCCTGGGCCCACAGCCGGTACTCTCAAACTCCACCCTATACTTATCCCAGGCCCAGAGCATCATGATCCCTGGCCAGTCCCAGACTGGCTACAACCCTCCTCCACTCGCAGGTGGCCAGTCACCTCGGTCCTGGAGCAGCTGTGCCATCTGGTACTGGACCAAGCCACTGAGGCCATGGTAGCGGCAGAGAGAGGCCACCGCAGTGGCCACGTCCCGGTTTTCTGTGTACAGCGTGCCAAAGCGGAGCCCGGACATCCCAAAGTCCTGAAGGAGAAAGACATCTGAGGCGGTGGCCACAAAGCCAGTTCTACCCACCTCTCTGCCTTCCCACCTCCCTGACACCCCCAAGGCCAGCCAGGCACCCACCTTGCTGGTGGCCCACATCACGTGGGTCCTCTGGGGGTCCGGCAGCCTGCAGAGGGCACAGTGTGGGGATGGAGACAACACAGATCTGCAGGTGCTCACATGTGTGGTTGAAGACGGCTGCATGGATAAATCTGGCTCTGGTCAAGCCCTGGTTTCATGCCTTGAATCACCAACTCCCAGCATCCTTTAGAGCAGGGGTCAGCAAACTACAGCCTGCAGGCCAAATCCGGCCTGCTGTCTGTTTTCGTAAATAGTTTTTGGGGTTTTTTTTTTTATCCTCACCCAAGGACATTTTTGCATTTATCTTCAGATGGGGGTGGGCAACATTGATGTGAGAGAGACACATCGAGTGGTTGCCACCGACACGACCCCAACCAGGGCCGAGGACAAACTGCAACCAAGGTACGTGCCCTTAGTGGGAACCGAACCTGGGACTCTCTGGTCCACAGGCCGATGCTCTAACCACTGAGCACTTGGCCAGGGCCCATAACTAGTTTTATCAGAACACAGCCATGCTCTTCCATGTGCGCACATCTACGCTGCTTTGGTGCCATAATGGCGGAGCTGAATGAGAGACCACAGGGCCTGTAAAGCCTAAAATAGTTTCCATTTGATCTAAAAAATGTTTGCCCACCCCTGATCTGGCACACAGCTCAGTGTCACTTCCTCAAACAGACCTTCTCTGACCACCTTCCAGCAGACCAGGCCAAGTGGGTGCCCCAAGGCGGTCCCCTCACGGCGCCCAGCCTTCTCCCTTTTAGTATTGAATCAAATAACTAGCTGTTATTTAGCTGCTAAAATGTTATTCCTGGCCCGAAATAAAAGTTCTACATAGAAAGGGCCTATGTCTTTCTTGTTCGCCGTCGCATGCCGGCGCCTCGCGTGGCGTCTGGCACAGGGTAGATCACAAGTCCCTGCTTCTGTGTCTCACTGCGCTAACCGGGAAACGAAGGGGAGCAACAGCCGACAGCACGTGCCCCACGCATTCGGCAGAGCTTTGGGAGAAGTAGCCAGAGATCAGGAGCTGTTGGATTCTCTGAGCGTGAGATTTACAGACTTTATAGATGATCTGGTCCAAGTGTTTGCAAAGGCATTTTGGCCACACGTCCTTGACTCAGAATAAATCTGATGGAAAAGCCCAAATAGCCAGAAGTGCATGATACATGCAAGGGGCTCCGGGATATCTGAAGGAGGGGAGGGGGAGGGGGAAGGGGAGGGAGAGGGAGAAATTGGAGGTACTTGGCGGATGAAGGAAACAGCAAAGCCCAGTGTCCCACCCCCCAGCCTTCCTTCAAGGACTCCTAAGGCCCCTCCTTGGAGCTCTCAGAAACCCCACAGAACAATCTGAAACCACTAATCTGGCCCAGTCCTCCCAGTTCTCTCTGGGGGCTCTGAGGACAAGGGGATCAGCTAGATGAAGAGGATCACCCTGGGGCAGGCCATGCCCTGTGGCTGAGCCACAGCGGGGCGGGGCCGGAGGGCAGGGAGGTGCAGAGTCAGCTCTGACACAGCAGCCTCACCTTTCCAGGCTCAGGACACTGCGGTAACCCACCGACTCCTCAAACACGGACAGCATGTAGACCTCATCCACCACCACGTGCAGCTCGTGCCTGGGGCGATGGCAGAGAACAGAGAGCTTGGTTACAGGTCAAATGCATCCCCCAGGGGAGGGGCGGTGACTCAGCAACCCCGAAGGACTGTATCTACCCCAGGGTTACCCAACTTGTTTCATCCACACACACAAGGCCCATGACAGTGGGGCTTTCGAAGCCCTGTGGGGGAGAGGCGGAGCCCTCAGGCACCCCCACAGAGGTTAAGTACAAGGCAGTTAAATACAAACAGACCCAGATTCAGGCTGGCTCCGCCCCTCACTCTTAGGCTCAGTAAACTGAGGGTAATAACAGTGTCTGTACCTAACAGTGTTGTTGGGAGGACGATGAGATAGAGCACATGAAGCAACTGCCCCTAAAGTGTGCAATAAATGAGAGCTGTTGTCACAGAGGCAGAGAAAGAACTAGCATCCCGCTGACAGCTGCCTCCCTCCCCCTGCCAGGAGGGGCCAAAGCGGGTGGAAGCCATGGTGGAGAAAGGAGGGTAGAAGGACCTGTCCCGAAGCCGGAACCCTTATCTGCCAGACGCTTTGGAGGGGCAGTATGGGTGCCTCACCTCTTGGCAAATTCCAGGTATTCCCACAGCTCTCCTGGAGAGTAGATGTCACCCAGAGGGTTCTGGGGGTTGATGAGGATGAGGCCTTTGACCTTCACACCCTGAAACCATCAGTGGAGCAGGACACCCTCAGCTCCTCCCAAAGGCCAGAGCCACAGGGTCCCACAGGGTCCCACAGGGTGGGGCTGGTTGCTGGGCAGGCTCCCCAGAAAATGTGATGGGACCCCATTCACCACACAACATGAAGCAAACAAGGGCAGAGAATTACATCTGCAGCATCATGTCAGCTATGAAAGAAAACAAATGCAGAGAGCAAAGCCTGGAGGGAACTATGCCCAAATGGCAGCAGGGTTGCCTCGGTTGGCAGACTTACGGGTGGGGTTGCACTTTGAAAATTCCCCTAGTGCCCTGGCTGTTTGGCCCAGCAGTTAGAGCATCGGCCCGTGGGCTAAAGGATCTTGGGTTCAATTCCCTGTCAAGGGCACATACCTGGTTACAGGTTTAATCCCCAGCCCCGGTCAGGGTTGTGTGGGAGGCAACCAATCGATGTGTCTCTCTCATCAATGTTTCTCTCTGTCTCTCTCTCTCTCTCTCTCTCTCTCTCTCTCTCTCCCTCTCCCGCCTTCTCTCTCTTTCTCCCTCCTTCACATCCACTCTATCTAAAAATCAATGGAAAAATATCCTTGAGTGAGGATTAACAAATAATAATAATAAAATTCCCAGTGGACATGTACAGCTTTAATCACCACGATAAAAGAAATTAAGTTGAAGAGTTGTGAAAGTGGACTAGAAGAGAACCACTGGAGGATTCCTGCTCTCTGCCTTCTCCAGGAGGCCTCAGCTCCCCGAGAGAGAGGACCCTCTTTTCTAATTGCAGGGAGACTGCTGAACTTCAGATTTCTAAGCTCCACAGCTGACCTGCTGGATCGGAATCAAGCAAAGTGGGGAGGTAATATTTTCAATCAAGTTCCCTGGTTGGTTATTTGTACACCGAGGTCTCCCAGTCTTCTCTGATGGCAAGACCCTCCACAGGCAGGCTCCTGCTTGACCCCAGAATGGTCCTGTGCCTACCCTCTGTCCTCATCACGGAATGCCAACCCTACCCAGGAGTAGATCAGCCGCAGGAAGAGGAAGAGGAAGAGGGGTCCGTGCCCTGCTCAGACCCGCCCACTCCCGGCCTTGGGTTTGCTTTGATCCCCAGACCTCAGAATTAGCTCCTTGCAGGGCCATCTCCAGCTTTTCCACTGTGAGCTGGAAGGGGTGTGTGTCCAGCCCAGTGACCTGGAAAAAGATTCACCGCCAAATTCAGTGACCCCTCCCCGAAGCCCTGAAATCTGGGGACTTCTCCTGCCTGTTATCTGGAAAAATACAGGGTGGTCACTCCCCTCTCCCTGCCCCCACACCCACCCCACCATATCAGGAACACCCTCATCACTATTAGGTTTCAAGAAGAGGCCCTAAAGGTCAACTGATCGGGATCCAAGGACTTCCATGTTGAAGTCTGCTCACCATCCTCACCCCACCATTTCGGTGTGGTCCCTGGGACCGTTCTTGGCTTCTACACTGACCCAGGACCTCAGAGCTGGGAGAATGGGAAGCCCCAGGGAACCTAGGCACTGGCTATGGGCACAGAAACCTCTACTCCCCTTTCAGCCATAACCCCTGAGCCCTCAGCATGGACCTCCACCCATGTCCACCCTCAAATTCAGATGCAGGAAAGTCTTGGCCTGCAGGAACCCCTACCTGGGGCTCCAGGAACTCTTACCTCACTGTCCAGATAGACACAGACCAGTCGGACGTTGCCATAGAGATAGACATGCTGCGTGATGGCTCCATAGTAAGGGGCAGGGATCAGGAAAGCCTCTGGGGGCAGGAGTAGGCCAGAGCCTGTCACCCTCTGGCTGGAGCTCATGAACCCCCGTCTGCTGGCCCCATGCCTCTCCAAGCCTTCGATAATCTTGGGAACATTTGGGGCATGCTCCCTCTCTCAACTCCCAAGATCCTTTCTTGAGCTTGGATCCACTGAGATCAGTTCCTTTTCTAATAACCTGCAGCTAACATTTATTGAGCACTTGCTATATGCTGGGAACTGTGCTAAACATTTATTTGCACTTTATCTCATTAGATCCTCATAATCACTCTGTGAAGTAAGTACGATTGTCATCCTAACTTTACCAATGAGAAAACTAAAGCTCAGAGGATCCCACTGAGGCACTCAGCATGTGGGGTACTCTAAAGAGACCAGGACCCGTGAGTGGAAGGTGCGGGGTGATGATCTGGGCTCAACCAGCAGAAAAACTTGACAACATGTAGAATTGCCCAGAGATATAATAAGCTGCTTCAGGGGGAGTGAATTCTCTACCCTTGGGGTCATTCAAACAAAGGCTGAAACCATTTGCGGGGGGGAGAGAATGTCAGACAGAGACCAGCTGTGGGTGGGGACCGATGAGAGGGACCTGAGAGGGACCGTAGGCTCTACTCTAAGCAGAGCTGAAGGCATTCCTGCACTTCTGAAGAGGGTGCATAGGTCAAGCGCGCTCCCTCCCCAGCCCTCCATTAGCACTGCCCACCCCACTCACAGCTCTGTGTTCCTATGTGCTCCCTTCCCCACCACAGGGACTAGACTAGAGGCAAGTGACCCAAGGGAGCCAATCCACTGGTGGGCCAGAAACCCATCATGTTCTCACTCTCTGAAGACTTTGCTCTGAGAAGCACAGACACTCGTGAGAACGTGCACTTGAATGGAAAGGTCACGTGCAGTGGCAGCTGGCTGGCACCACTGGGCCATGCAAGACCCAAGGCAGGTCCAGAGAAAGGCCTGCATTGAAAGGGGGCGGGGAGGGAGACTGCATATCCCAGTGAGAGGTACTGTTGCGCTGATCCCATTCTCGATTGTTCTAGAATGGGCAGGAAAGTGCCTTTTATATCCTGGTAATGAATCTTCCTTTTATAGTTCAAATCGTGGTTACTACCCCTCTGTGTGATTTTAATAAGGTTCCTAACCCCTTGTGCCTTAATCTCCTCACCTGTTAAATGGGGATAATCAGAGAACCTGCCTCATAGGGGTTGTAGTGAAGATTCTATGACAGACCATGTGTAAAGCCTTCAGCCAGTGCCTGGGACATAGTATGTGGTCAACACTGTAACTAATATTATCATTAATTACACCAGCATGGGTGGGCCTCTGTTCCTGGCAACCAATAACCCCTGACCACGACCATGGTCAGTGTGTTCTCAGTATGACTCTGGCTCTTGTAGCAGGCACTCCGGCACGTGAGGGTGCAAGGGCCATCTGTGCACGTGCAGAAAAGCCAAGGCCAGCACAGAGAGACAGCCCAGACCCCCATCACACTGGCTTCCTCTGGAAATGCTGGCACCTGGGTGTCTTGTCAAGCACTTATTTCAGCCCCCGGTAGCCTAGGGGTCTATTATGGCCCGGAGCATTCTGAGGCAGCCCCGAGGACAAGCAGCTGGGACATGGCAGGCAGAGGGCAGCTCCCGGTGCTAAGCGGGCCACAGTCCACTTACCCCCGACCTCACACAGCACCGTGGCCAGAGCAGAGAAGAGAGAGGCACAGCCGTTCAGGACAACCACCTGAGGGTGACACATCCATGTGACAAACGTGAACCTGTTTAAGGCGGGATCAGGCTCTGTCCCTGGATGGTGCAGAGGGACAGCCAGGTGGTACCCTTCAGAGCTCTGTCACAGCAAGGCCACAGAAGGTACCCAAAGGCCCCTCCTGACTAACAGCCAAGTTCATTCATGTGGCTTATTTGTGGGACCCTGCTCTAGGTGAACTGAGCAAGGAAGAAGGAGCTGCTCAGAGGTGTGGAGGTAAAGAAGGGCCACAGGACAAAGTGGGGGCAGAAACCATACCCAAACTCGAAGGGAGGGGAAAGGGAACAGGTGTTCCTAACTCCACTTGGAAACCAATCAAAACACAGAGAAAGGCAGATCCCCACCCCCTAACCCCTGGCCAGCCTAAAGCTGGGGGAAAGAGGCAGAAAACCAGGAAAGAGCAGAGGAGGGGGGCTACTCACATTCTCTGGTTTAAGGGGTGCAGGGCTCCTGCAGTAGACAGACAGGAACCTGGCCACTTCCTCCCGGAGGCTGCAGATAAGACAGACAGAGGGGCAGTGCTTGTCAGAGGGTCTTCAACCCACCAACCCACCCAAAGCGCCTCTGGTGAATCTTCAGGCAGCGCTCATTAAGGCCTTTGTTTCCCAGAAGGGAAATGTGATCAGTAGGTGTCTCCACCCCCTCTCCACTCCCAACACTACCTGGAGGCATGAAACTTTCACTCTCTGTAGTTCTAAGACTGCCAACCCCACTGAATCAGCAGATTTCAGGATAACATAAGCAACACTTGCTTTATCACGCAACTATCATCATTATTATTCCCATTTTACAGAAAAAGAAACTGAGACTTGAAGAAATTAGCTCACTTGTGGGAAAGTGGCAGAGTTCACACTTGAGCCCAAGGGTCTGACTTGAGGGCCCACCATCCCAATTACTGTAAGAACATGTGCTTTGGAATCACTCTTAGAATCAAGTCCTGCTCAGTCACAACGCCCAGGACAGCAACTGGTCCCGTAAGTGCTCAATAAGTATAAACTCCTACAAGTATTATTTACCACCTTCCATCCTGTGAGTCGGGGAAGCTCCAGCCAGCTCCCCTTAAACTGATCTGGCTCCTCTAAAGCAGCTGGGAAAGTGAGGTCAAGGACTCCTTGTAGGAAGGCCCTCCCCAGGCCTCAGAGCCAGAGAAACCAAGCTGGGAGCTCCTGCGCTGGGGTGGGACTGGCAGGAGGCACCAGGCCCCCACAGAGGCTCCAGGAGCCCCCTCCCCACCCTGACCGCCCGCCAGGTCTCCAGGACTAGGTAGGCCCTCAGCCTAAGGCAGACTTTCTCAACCTGCCACTATGGCCATTTGGGGCCAGATAAGTCTTTGCTGTGGGGGCTATCCTGGGCATCATAGGAGGTTTAGCAACATCCCTTGCCTCTACCCAACAAATGCCAGTAGCACCCACTTCCCAGTTATAACAACCAAAAAATTTGCAGACATTGCTATATGTCCCCTGGGGAGCAAAACCACCCTGGGGTTGAGAACCGCTGGCCTATGGCAAGTACTTACAACAGATGTCCCCTCCAGTCAGGGTACTGCAACAGAGACGGCTTCACCTGCAGCATGTCACTCTGACTCAGCTGGGGACAAAGAGGAAAGAGCAGGGCTAAAGGTCACACGTGCTCACAGGAAGGGCTGGTTGGTGTTACCATGTGCGTCCCCACCGCACCAGGGCCCCTAAAGCCACAGGCTTGGTCTCCACATCGAAGAACCTGTGAGACGGGCAGCCTGGGAACAGCATTCTCACGCCCATTTTGCTGATGAGGAAACCGAGGCTAAAACAGTGAGGTGGCTCAGCCAAGGTCACAGAGCTAGCAAGTGGCAGAGCTGAGAAAAAAGCTAGAATTCTTGACTTCCAGTCAAGTGCTCTTCATTCAACACTGACACCTACAAAAACCGGAGGGGTGGATTTGCAGAGCAGTGATGGGAGGTGTGCTGCCCAGCTCTTCTCTGGGGTGAAAGAAGACGCCCTAGAATTGGGTGCCATCACTGTGGTCTTCTGGAGGGACTCAGGCCACTGTCCTCCTGCAGGCTCAGATCAACCTTGGGAAAATGTGGCCATTTCTAGACCATCCCCACCCTGACCAGGTGCTGGGTTAGTGACTCCCAGGGCATCGCACACACGATGTCAAGGAAAGGCAGGGTCCTTGGGCAGGGGGACCACAGGACGAAAGGTATAGTCAGCCACTTGTACATAAGTTGAGCCTTTCCCTTTCTCCTTCATCCCCGGAGCTGCACTGACCAATGCGGAAGGCACTAGCCACATGGGCTATTGAGCACTCGGGATGTGGCTAGTCTGAATCCAGACACACAGGATACTGGAGACTGGATCTGAAAAAAGTACGTAAAATATCTCACCGATAATTTTTTTATATTGATTACATGTCGAAATGGTCACAGTTTAAATATATTAGGATAAATAAAGTATATTAGTAAAATGAATTTTACCAGTTTCTTTTTACTTACTTAATAGAAAATTTAAAATGATATACATGGCTCACATTTTATTTCTACTGGATGGCGCTGAGCAACCTTGGAGTTGGGGCAGCTGGCTTTAGTAGAACATGCCTTTCAAGCCCACTCCTGACACTACACGCCTCTCCCCTTGGGACTTGCATTTCTCACCTGTGGGCACAAGTCCCTTTGAGTTAAACATCACTCTCTCTACTCTGACTCCCAAGCCTTGGGAGATATATTTAACAGGCATTTCCAGCAGTTTGCTAGAGATGGCTGGCATCAGCTCAAGAAATATGATTATTAAATTTTCAGAAATTTTGCAAGCTGCGTTAATAGATAGCCATTTCAAATATTAACTTATACAAATGACATTTAAATTATATAACTGAATTATATTAAAAACAAAGGTAGTAGCCCTGGCCAGTTTGGCTCAGCGGTTAGAGCGTCGGCCTATGGTCCAAAGAGACCCAGGTTCGGTTCCTGTTAAGGGCACATACCTCGATTGCAGTTTGTCCCCGGCCCTGGTTGGGTCATGCGGGAGGCAGCCACTTGATGTGTCCTTTTCACGTCGATGTTCCTCTCTCTCTCTCTCTCTCTCTCTCTCTCTCTCTCTCTCTCTCCCTCCCACTCTATCTGAACAAAAAATGGAAAAATGTCCTCGAGTGAGGATTAAAAAAAAAACAAAGGTAGTAAATACTTAAACAACATTGCTCTTGGTTATGTCACTGCATTTTACTGTGCTCTTGAGGCTATCTCTGTCTTGAGGTTATCTCTGTCTATGTGACTAGACGGAAAACACTATACTGGGTGGGGCAAAAGTAGGCTTACAATTGTTCATATGGAAAATAGTACAAGAATAAACTCTTGTTTTTTGTATTCACAACTGTACACCTGTTTTTGCTCCACCCTGTAAATGTGTGCCACTGCACTTCTTTCCCCAATTCTGTGTGCACTAATGTCACATCAGTAGCTTGAAACTGGCCGTAGTGGGAGTATTTACACTATGGGAATTGGCCAAAGCTACAAATCAGCACCACCACCCCCAGAGCCCGTTGTTCATTACTGATCACACACCCACCACTGAGTGTTTCTCCTGAGAGCAGGGACCCAGCTGACAGGAGGGTCTGAGTGAGGGTAAGAGCCTAAAGAGAAAAAGAAGCAGGATCAGAGTAGGGGAAGTAACCACCCAAGACCATACGGAAAGTTGTCCCTGAGCAGATCCGGAACCTAGACTCCTGACTCCCAGGCCACAGCCACTGAGGTAAGCAGCAGGCTCTCGTGGGAGAAGCAGTCTAGGGAGGCCGAGAGAAAACAGGCTCTCAAGTTGGTGATGCCACCCAGAGGTGCACCGGGACTTACCCGCCTGGACAGAAGGTCAAAGCACAGCTTGTTCTCACTGGTGCCCAAGTTAATGATGCCCTGGAAAGGAGAGGTACAGAGGCAGGGTGAGCATGGCAGAGGGGGGCAAAGGAAAGGTCAAGGAAGCAGCAAAGCAGGAACTCTCTGCAATCCTGCCCTTCCAACCACCCCTGCTTGACCTGGCTCAGGCCGTGCCCTCCACTCAGCACACTGACCCCATCTTCCCACTTCTAAAGTTCTGTTCAAATGCCATCTCCTCCAGAAAGCCTTCCCCAAACCCCGCCTGGTGAGATCTTTTCTTCTTCTGAACCCCAAAGCTCTTTGTCCCCCTTTAGAGCACTGGTCAGTTTCTGCCCCAGGTCACAGGAACTGCTGAACATGCTCGTACCTCGAGGACGAACTGCAACCAAGGTACGTGCCCTTGGCTAGAATCAAACCCGGAACTCCTTGGTCCGCAGGCCAATGCTCTAACCACTCAGCCAAACCAGCCAGGGCTCTAAGTCATCTTTTAAAAATTGAAATCAGGTCATGTTGCTCTTCCTAAGAACACTTTCCATCTGCTTTGTCTGTCTCCCCCACTAGACGATAAACTCCATGAGGGCAGAGACTTTCTTTTGTCCACTGCTATAACCCCAGCACGTAGAGCAGTGCCCAGCACCTGGCAGATGTTCAACAAATAAAGATTATTAAAGGTTGTTATCTGTGGTAGCTCTGAAGGTGTTCCTGGTAAGAACTTACAATAGCCAGGACAGATAACATTCATAACGGCAGCAGCTACTAGTCACTGAACGCTCCGTGTGGAAGCACCGTGCTAATAACTTTACATCCTGATCTCACTCCACTGGGACTGTTCAATAGAACAGGCATCATTATCTCATTTTAGAGATGAACTGAAGTTCAAAGAGGTTAAATCATTAGCTCAAGAATACACAACCCATAAGTAAAATAGTTGTAACCCAAACCCTACTTCTGTCCCAGCTCTAAAGATGAGTAGTGGAGAGTCTGTGGGTCAGAATCCAGTTTGGAGCATTCCATGGTTCTTGAACTCCTCCCTCACAAATCAAGTTCCCCTTCATTATAACTGGGCCATTTTCTGATCCAGGTAATAAACCGGGGCCTTTCTTTGCTACATCAGGAGCCCTCTTGGAGGTCAGAGGCTGTAAGTCCAACCTGACAAGAACAAGCTGGATGCTGTCCTGTTGGTCAAGGTAGGGTATCCCACCCTGCAGTCCTTACTGGGTCCCAGTGGGAAGGAGGGCTTCACTCACATTAGGGTTCTTATCCTCATCATACTCATCCATATGGTAGGTCCTGTAGCCCTCCTCAGCCGAGTCCCAGAACCATTTGATGATGCTTCCTCTCGAGGACAGGTGGGAGCTATCGGAGGAGAACGTGGCAGTGGGGTCACCCACTCCACAGAGCTCTGGCAGCTTCTGGTCTGGCTCTCTGGCGCGGTCTCCTTCCAGACCACCCCTGTAGTTAGTGTTCAGGCCCCGTGTGGCGGCTGGGCCCAGACGGGTGGTAGGTGCCCTGGATTCCTTCTCAGAGAGCGTGGACATCTGCAAAAACACAGAAGCACTCAATGCCTGATCGAGGATTTTCCTCCGGACCAAGCATCAAAAATGAATTGGGAGTCAGGGGCCTCCTCCTTTCCCTACCTGCCTCTTCTTTATGTACTAACTGCATCCTGTGTCCCTGACTAGTTGTAGCCATGTGTGCAACCACTTCAAGTAAAGTCTGTTAAGGATGTTTTCCATGCCAGGGTCTGCACTTGCTTACTATTATATAGCTGTATTATACAGCTGCTTTAGTTAGACTTTTGTGGGGTTTTCTGAATATTTCTGAAATATTCTGACTTAAAGCATAAAGAACATGATCTCACTTATTTGTGGAATATAATGAACAAGGCGGGCTGATGAATGAAATAGGCCCAGAGACATAGAAAGGAGTATGGTTCAGACTGACAAACCTCAGAGGAGGGGGGCAGAAGGGGGATGGGTGAGATGAACCAAAGAACTTATATGCATGTATGCATAACCAATGACAGACAACAATGCTAGGGGGGTTGGGAGGGCGGGATGGGGAGGGGGGGTGTAGGGGGGAAAAAGGAGAAACATCTATAACAAAAATAAATTAATAAAAATAGGAGAAAAAAGCAAAGTGCAAAAATAAAAAAAGCATAAAGAGTGGCAATGGAGTGTGCGTGGGGGGGGTGTCTTGTGGCGACTGATGTAAATAGGGGTAAAGGGTGGGATGAGAGTGTTGGTGGTCTGAAGCAGACCTTGGGTGGGGACTGAGGGGTGGTGCTAGGGATCTCCGGGGTCCCCTCTTCCCACCCACTGGTGAGCGGCACCGGGCCTGGATCGGGTTATCTCATCTTGCGAGCGGATGGGAGCTCCTCCACTTTCCAAGGTGGTTTCCTCATTTGCACCGCGGATGTAATCGTACCTACTTCATAAGACAACAGTAAGGCTGTACGTACATGAGTTAATGTAGAGAAAGTGCTTAAATCCTGGCCCGTGGCCAAAGTTCGGTAAAAGATAACTTTTGGCTGATTTTCCCAGTCCTAACGGACAAGTCCACACACCAAATAATGGGGGGACATGCCAAATGATGGGGGACCAGCTGGCAGCACAAGGACCCTGGGGCTCCTGCTCAATCGTGCTCCACAAAGTCTTCTCTGTGGTCCTCCCCCAATCTCTGCGCTCCCCAGTGCTCGGCTGGGTCCCCCCCTCGGAGCCCAGGCCTGCGGAAAGGCCTGGCGGGCCGGCGAGGCCAGGGAGGGGGGCCGGACACTCGCTCAGCGCTGCGCAGGAGCCACGCAGCTCAGCAGTCGTCCGGTCCACAGCCCAAACCCAGCGCCGACCAGGCCTCCGGCCAGTGGTGGGAGGGACAGAAAAGTGCCTGGGCCTCGGCGGGGCGGGGACCGTCTGGAGGGACCGCTCCCGGGCCCAGGAGGGGGCAGTAGAGATGGAAGGACAGACCTTGGCGGAGCCCTGGAGCCGGTCCCCAAGGGAGTGCCACCTGTCTGCGCAGCGATCACAGCGATCACAGCGACCTGGCCGAGCGAGCGGGGCGGAGCAGACGTGGCCAGTGTCGTTTCCTTTGCCCCGACACGCCCTCGGCGCTCTACGCAGGGACCCGCCCCCACGGCACCTAGATTGGGGTTCCGCGGGAGTGTCCGCCACCGGAGCTTCCCGGGCTGGTGGGAGCGCAGTTCGCCCCCTGGCGACCGAGACCAGAAGACACCTCCGTGTGGCCTGCGAGAAAAGGGGTGCACACTCGGTGGACGGCAGGGGCCGGTGTGCCCCCCTACCCTCTCGGATCCTGACACCCGCTCAGGCCAAGGAGAGGGCAGGGAAGAGGAAGGGGCTTAGGGCCCAGATCTTGGCGAGGGAGGGGAAGGTCACCCGTGGCCTCAGCGCAGGGCAGCCTCCTGACTCTGGTCTCCCCTCCGCTGGCTCTTTGGGGCGCCTCCCTCTGCCTCCTGGTGTAGTTCCCCAGTGTTGAGACAACTGGAGCCACGGAGCTTTCTTGGCGACTGTGTGCCTGGCTGTGGCCCACTGAGAAGTCTTTCCGGATTAAGGCGACAGCATCCTTGAAGCATCCTTCCCCTACGAGAGTTTTACACCAGTTTGTCATTTCTCCCCTTTTCGTTCTATGCGACGTTTTTTGAAGTTTACCAGGGACCCTGCATATCTGGGGCTTTAGCAGTGAGTTAGACTACCCAGGGCCCTAGCATGCTCAGAGCCTTGAGTAGAATGGAAAGTATTATCCTAAGTGAAATAAGCCAAGCAGAGAGAGACAAATACCACATGATCTCACTTATATATGGAATATAATGAACATAACAGTCTGAGGAATACGGTAGACCCAGAGACGTGGAAGTAGGGCACAGACTGACATCCCTCAGAAGAGGGGGTGGGGGGGTGAGAAGAGATAAACCACAGAACCTATATGCATGTATGCATGACCAATGGACATGGACAACTAAGCCGGGGACGGGGCAGGGGTGGGGTGGGGAGGGGGGTGCCAATGGGGTAAAAAAGGTGAAATATCTGTAACAAAAAAAAGTCTCCTTTCCCTCCGTGATTTGTTCTGTAAAATGAGCCAGTTCTCTCTATGCAAGTCATAGCATTCTATTTCATTCAGATAAGTAATCTTATTGAATGCCTACTTTGTGCCAAATCTCCGCAAAGTGCTGGAATACAGTTATAAGCAAACCAAACAGGGGACCTGTATGGTTGATTGGGAAGGCAGACACTAAGGTGTTAACTGCGAAGAAACCGGTTGCTGAGTGTCGTGTAAGCGTACAGCAGGCAGGTTTAACCCTACCCCAAAACACACGCACTGGCCCCACAGAGGAAGCCCTGCACACGCATTCAGCCTAAACACGTAGGAAGTGGTGGTTGAGTTCTGAAGGATAAGTCCTAGTTAGCTACCTGGTCAGTGAAGTGTTAGAGCAGAAGGAACTTTTTTTTTTTTTTTAATCCTCACCCAAGGACATTTTTCCATTTTTTGTTCAGATAGAGTGGGAGGGAGGGAGAGGAAGAGAGAGAGAGAAACATCTCAATGTGAAAGGGACACATCGAGTGGCTGCCACCCGCACGACCAACCAGGGCCGGGGACAAACTGCAACCGAGGTACGTGCCCTTAGCGGGAACCGAACCCGGGTCTCTCCGGACCGCAGGCTGATGCTCTAACTGCTGAGCCAAACTGGCCAGGGCCAGAAGGAACATTTTGATAGAGCCTTGAAGATTAGAGTCAGTGTAGAACATTAATGAACAGTACAAATCCAATACCTCTGGAACTTACCAGGTTTGAGAGAAAGGTCAGAGATACAAGCAGGGTCAGGTCATGAATCTTTGTAAATAAACCACAATAAGGACTGTGGAATTCTCACTGAGGACTTTGGAGATATAGAGATATATACATATATAAGTCGGTGGGGCATGGGGGGGGCGATAGTTTTTTTCATCAAAAGGTATAACTAAGCCCCCCAAAAGATAAATAAAATGGATACTAAATAATGCTGACTAATCTGAAAGAAGCCAAGCAGAAAGGAAAAATGAGTAAAAAGTATATGGCACAAACAGAAAAGATAATTGACTTAAATTCAACCACATTGATAATTACATTAAATAGAATGACTAAGGACCAATTAAAAGATCAAACTAAAAAAAAAAAAAAAAGCTGCAAATATATGGTGTTTGCAAGACACATGTTGAAGGTGACAAATGGTTAAAAGTGAAATTGGAAAAAAATATTCCATGCAAATAACAGTCATAGCAAGATGGGTACTGTTCAAAAAACAGAAAACATGTGTTGGCGAGAATGTAGAGAAATTGGAATCCTAGTGCACTGTTGGTAGGAATGTAAAATGGTACAGCTGCTGAGGAAAAGTGTGGAGTTTCCTCCAAAAATTAAAAGTAGAATTGCTGCATGACCCATTGCATTTCTGGGTATAGTCCCAAAATAACTGAAAGCAAGTTCTCAAAGACATTTGTGTACATGTTCATAACATCATTATTCACAATAACTAAAACAAGGAAGCAACTCAAATGTCCGTCAGTGGATGAATGAATAAGCAAAATGTATATACATGCAATGAAATATTATTCAGCCTTAAAAAGGGAAGAAATTCAGACATGCTACAACATGGATGAACTTTGAGGACATGAAGCTGAGTGAAATAAGCCAGTCACAAAAAGACAAATACTGTGTGATTCCACATGAGGCGGGTAGAGTAGTTAAAATCAGAGACAGAAAGTAGCACAGCAGTTGCCCGCAGCTGAAGGAAGGGGATAATGAGGAATTATTATGTAATAGGTATAGATTTTCAGGTTTACAAAATGAAAAGAGTTATGGGGACAGATGGTGGTGATGGTTGCACAACAATGTGAATGTGCTTAATACCACTAAACTATGCAATTTAAAAATGGTTAAGATGGGCCCAGCCAGTGTGGCTCAGTGGTTGAGCGTCAACCCATGCACCAAGAGGTCACTGGTTCGATTCCCGGTCAGGGCACATGCCCAGGTTGTGGGCCAGGTCCCCAGTGGGGGCCATGCAGGAGGTGGCCAATCGATGTTCTCTCTCATCAATGTTTCTATCTCTTTCTCCCTCTCCCTTCCTCTCTCTCTCTAAAAATCAATAAAGAAAAAAAATGGTTAAGATGGTACATTTCATGTTAGATGTTTCTTAGCACACAAATAAGAGGGGGAAAAAAAACATAAGGAGGTTAAAGTGTTCATAATAATATCTGACATAGACTTCAAAACAAAAAGAATAACCAAGAATTAAAATATTTCATAATAAAATGTTCAATTCATCAGTATAAAAAAAATTTTAATGTTTATACCCCTAATGACAAATATTCAAAATCCATGAAACAGAAAGTGACAGAACAAAAGGGAGAAATGGACAAATCAACAGTGATAGTGAAGAAATTTAGCACCCTTCTCTTAGTTATAGAATAAGTTGATAAAATGACAGTAAGAATCAGAAGATTTAACCATTACAAAGCAATTTAACCTAATGGATGTTTGTAGGACACCATGCCTGATAACTGCAGAATTCATGTCAAGTGCACATGAAACATTGATAAACCATATACTTGGCCATAAACAAGTCTCAATAAATTTAAAGGGTTGAAATCATAGTTTATGTCCTCTAATCACAATGGAACTAAAGTATAAATCATTAACAAAGCTAATCGAGTGATCTCCAAATATTTGGAAACTAAGTGACATGTGCTAGATAAATCATAGATAACAGAAATCACAAAAGAAATGAGAAAATTGAATGATCATAAGAACCCAACATATCAAAATTATATGTAACTAAAGCAATGCTGGAAGAGAGATCAATAGCTATAAATTTTTATATTAAATAAAGCTTAAAAGCATTGATCTGAGCTTCTACATTAGCAGCTGGAAAAACAGCAAATTAAACCCAAAGGAAATAAAGATAAAAGTAGAAATTAAACGAGAAACAATAAAGTAAAATCAATGAAACCCAAAGTTGGTTCTTTGAAAAGATCAATACAATTGATAAACATTTAGATTAACTTATTAAAATCTCATTTCAATTTCAGGAAAGAAAAAAGGGATAGCACTATAGAGCCTACAAATATTAAAGGGATAAAATTAGTCCCTCATTATGTCAATAATTTTATTTAGATGAAATGGACAAATTTTCTTGAAACAAATTGCCAAAACTGACACAAAAAAATAGAAAATGTGAATGGCCCTATATCTGTTACAGAAATTGAATTCATGAGTAAAAACCTTCCCACAAAGAAAACTTCATATACACATGGCTTTACAGGTACATTTTACCAAATATTTGAATATTTAAAAAGTTCGGTTTGACACCAAGTTTCAGAAACCTGAGGAAAGAAAACTTCCCCAAACATTTGAGGTCAGTTTTACCCTGATATCAAAACCAACAATGCATTACAAAAATAAAGTATAATACAATATCCTTTGTGAAAATAGATGTAAAATTCTTAATATCAGCTCAAATTTAACTATATAAAAGGATGATACATCATAACTACATGGTGTTTGTTGCAGAATATGACATTGGCTTAACATGTTTAAAAAATTAATGTAATTTACTACATTAATAATGTCAAAAGAATTATGTGATCTCCAGAAGTACAGATAAAAACATCTGACAAAATTAAACCCCATTGCCCTGGCTGGGTGGCTCAGTTGGTTGGAGTGTCATCCTGTACAGCAAAAGGTTACAGGTTCAATTCCCAGTCAGGGTACATTCCTAGGTTGCGGGTTCAATCCCTGGTCAAGGCATGTACAGGAGGTAAGTAATCGATGTTTCTCTCTAAAATTCAATTTTAAAAAAAAAAACAAAAACATATCCTCAGGTGAGGGTTAAAAAAATTAAACCCTCATTAATGGTAAAACTTAGAAAACTAGAATTAAAGGAAACTTTTCTATATGGTAAAAAGCAATAGGGAAAATACAGCAACATTATATATTTGAGTAAGAGACTAACTCAATCCTGCTAAGATTGAGAACAAAACCAG